GTTCTTGTGGTGCCATATTAATTGCCGATTTATGTTTGGAAACGAAATTATTTTTAGATTCATATCTATAGTTTAAAGTTGTTTTTAAAAATCAAAATTTTTTGCTGTATTGTTGGCATGATTGTTTAAGTCTAACAAAATTATTTTCAAATCTGCAAAATGTATCCAGCAAAATTTTAAATCTTTCAGCAAAATCATTCTTTCTGTGTATGAATATCGTATTGTTTAATTACCTAATCGAGCAATTTATTTGGTTAAATATAACCAATAAGATTTTTCTCGCGTTTTCTCGTACCTTTAATTATTACACGAAGCGCAAGCAGAAATACAAGAGCGCTTTAAAAGCGCACGTGGATTTCTAAGACTCCCGCGGAAGAAAAATCGAACTCGAATGACCACCGCCGGCGGCCATCCGGCGGTCGATCCACACGGTCGAGTACTTATTAATTATCGCATAAATTGCATGTACGCTGAAGGAGTTCGCTCATACGATGCAAGGCGAGGCCTGGGCTTGTAGAATTTCCACGGCGGCGTCTTGCGAAATCCGATTATCCCTGCCATGTTTCAGTAATTGAAGGTGCGCCGCAAGCGGCGAGGCCAGCGCGTGACTTAAATAGTACGGAAGACCATCGTTATTCGATCTAAGTCACGAGCAGAAAATTATTATGGATAGCGGCGGCGCGCCGCGTCGCATCTCCACCGCTCGCAGTAGAACCGGTCAGTTATCAGACAGGCGCGACGGATAAGTGCCTCCTCCCCGTAGCACAGATCATTTCAGCAATATTGCGACGTTTCAGTAATATTGCGGCAACATTGCAAACGAGCTGCAAGCTTCTATGCTATATGGACCATCTTCTCACTTAAAAAAGGCTCCTTGCATCGTTAATTCATATAATGTCAAATTAGACTTACTTTGAGTTTTCATCATTTCTATCGGTCGTCACTGTTCCTATACTTCGTTAATTTGATTAAGACGGTGAAATTAAATAATTTAATACAAGAAAATGAATTGACTTAAATTAGTTTATTTTGAATCAAATCATATTCTAGAAATGGATTGATGATTTACGTAACATAAAGAATTTGCTCTTTTAATATCTAATGTAGTATAATGTATAATTATGATGTAGAATGAGTGGCGAGTAGAAAAAATCGCCATAAGTAGTGACTTTCATGAATGTTTCGAGCAAAATAATTGCATTGTTAAATATATATTAAAGAATCAAATTTAAACCATTTCTTAGGTTAAATAACATTCCATTATTTTTAACCTTCATATGTTTCAAAATTTTTTATTTTAATGTAAAGCATGTATAATGTGGTTTAAAAAAATAACTATAAATAAATTTTTACTTAATTTTTAAACGAACTGCATCTATATTAAATATGTATTTAATAAATAATAACTAAATTTGAGACAAATACCTTTCTTGAGTTAAATTGTTTAACTTCATTATTTTAGCTAAATTAAAACGATATATTGAATACAGCAGTGGTTACATTTAAAAATGCCTTCAATTCGATATAATTTGTTATTACGAATTTAACAGTGCATTCGCGCTAAATCTTTCGCAAAGATCTTTCGAAAGTCGCAGATATCACTCTGAAGATATAAACACTGCATTTGATTCTTTGTATTTTTATAAGGAAACGTACTTCTTTGAAAAACTTCACGAAACTCTATCTCTTCTGGTCTCTCCGAATCTCAAGTCCATTTGTTCTCTCTTGTAGATTTCGCTAATGTTATGAACTTAATTACAGCAATATTTTATGCGGACGAAGAATCGTAGCGAAATTAATTCGCGAACGCTAATTAGGCGTTTATCTAATGTCTCCCCGCATTATAAATGAATCGCGTATCTCTCCATAAATGGTGAGACTGGCGTGTGGTCTTTTTCGAGAAACTTCGTGGAGAAGCAGAGACGAAACAAAACGACCGACTGATGCATCCATTAGGCTATCCAGTTCGTTATCGTCATTTTGTTCAACTCGTTCAAGTTGCGAATAACACTCAACAGCTAAGTTGGTGAGAATTATCGTAAGCGAGAAACATCGTCACATCTATTTCATAAATCAAATCTTGTTTTCGCTTTCCTAATTGGAGTTATCGGCACTATAGATATCTACCGGATATAGCGAACGTGTATTATATTATAAATATATATGTAGGGGTGTCATAAATTCTGTTTAATTAGGAATAAACTAAGAAAAATAGATTTATAACGTAATTATAAAATATAAGGGTAATATAGAATATATGAATTTATTTTAGTGATTGTGATTCGTTTCATTAAATTAATCGCAAATTAATCTAAAAATTATAAAAATAATGATAACTAAAGAAATATATTATGCCATTGATTGCTTTTGCCAAGCTCCGATCTGGTGAACTTCATGGACCTTACTTCGCCTACACGTTGGTCGACGATGCAAATTTATTCGGTGTATGCATCTCGTATATAGTCGGCAATCTTCATTGAAGATCGGACGCAAGCTGGCAAGCTGGCAAGCGGTCGCACGGCCATCATTGTCGAGAAAGGGAGGAAGACAACAAGAAGAGAACACAAAAGTGAATCGATCGGAAAGAAGTACCGGCTGTTTCGAAAGGGGGATCATGAATTCCAAAGTGGACGAGGATTCAGTTAACGTTTAAATACTTTACGCGGTGCCAGTTTTAATTCGTTTCGCCGAAGATCAGAATACTGCTCTTAGTGACAAAAGGAACTGTACGAAAGAACCGAATAATTACATTTACGATGCGATTAGAACTTTGTAGGTGCGATAAAAATTATTTCGGTTACTTCGTTACTTAGTTTACATCGACCTTACGATTTCAGTCATGTTTTATTATGAAATTTTCACCTGTAACACACTCGTGTGTTATCTGAATAGCCTTTCAGGATTGTTAATAGTACTCGAAACTAAAGAGAAAAAAAAGAAAAGACTTGTCAACTCGAGAATGACGCGTTCACGTCATTCTTGTGTACAGCGTGCGTCTTTTTCCCAGAATCCTTTCATCTCTATCTATAAAATGGTTTAAAAAAACACCAGGGGTGGTAATTATAGTCCGTTCTTGTCTTAAGATCGTCTTAAGTAATGTCTTAACGCGACCCTCTGATTGGTTCGTGACACCTCAAGACAGAATTTAAGACAATCTTGAATATAAGAATACTAACTATGAATACCGGCCTTTGATTGGTTTATAACGTCTTAAGACTGTATTTAAGATTTTAAATATAAGATCCGACTATAAACTACCAGCCTAAGACTACAACAGACTAGTCTTGTTCTAGTATTCGGAAAAAGTCAACTGTTTTTGTTCAACTGTGTAATTGTCATGCTTCTCTTTAACGCCGATTATATCTCTCGCATTCATTATACGTCATCATCTCGTTGTAGACTCCTCAGACATCTGCGATTCTGTCTGCTCGTGTTTATTTTTGGGCGCCCTTCTCTCCCTCCCCTTCTTGCTCTTAGATCTTTTTTTCGTGACGCGTGCCGTCAAACCAGTTCCCTTACGGTTCACCGTTCCAAGAAAACCGGACCTTCTAATATGTCACACGCTTACTACAAAAGTATGACGTATTCTACGCACTCTCGTCTCGTGGCGAATCTTTTTTGCGTTTACCTAAATATTTTTTTTTTATCGTGCACACATGCCTCAGCTGATGAGTCACGATTATTTCCAACACTTTTTTATTATCCTGAAAGAAAAAGAAAATTTTCCTCCACTATGCTCTCCATTGTAACTTTGTTAATGATCGTGCAAAAATCCGAAAGATCATCGCCGTTTAATTCCCGTGAGATATTTCTCTTTAAACTCTTTAAAACCAGATATTTACAGTCTTGGCTAAAAATACTGAGTATATTAACCATCCTTTTAATCCTTAAAATAACATAATTTTATTCTTCTGTAATAATAGTCATCACAATGAATTACATTTTAAAATTAATATTGTAGAATTTTAATGACTTGAAGCGTTCAAACACATTTTCTGGAAAACTGTTTTTTTTTTTTTTTTTTTAGTTGTGTTGTCGCAAAGAACGCATTTTCTCTCCGGAAAATTGTTCTTTTAATTGTTGTAGCAAAGAAGCGATATATTTTTAAAATTCCACCTTGGATTGGGACTAACAATAAGTCTCAAATCTCAAGATTATATAAGAATCTAGAGAGCCGAAGTTTTTTTCGCAGCACGTTTGCGTTATCGTTTAAGTATGCGACCGTAATCATACGGTATTTGCGAAGGGATTTCCTAGCTCGTGAACGATGCAGATGTACAAGTCATTCCTGACTTCATCGCTCCTCCACTTCTGATCTCATTCTTTTTGGTTCACCGCGCACGATGGTGACTCACGATTACACGGCGGTATAAACCACGTCTCTTTTTTTTCTTTCCTTTCTTTTTATCCTTTTTCCTCTCTTTATCGGTCGGTCCTTTTTATCGAGCTAGCACCGCGATTTCACGGTGCCGCGCTCGCGACAATTAACCCTTTCACCGTTGAATTGCGCGACGAATGTGGCAGCTGTGCTCCCTGCGAGAGTATCCCCATGTTTGATCGCTTAATATTTCTGTCGTGTTACAAAACACGCTGTTACTTAGGTTGTAACAGGTGCGACAACCGTGTCTTGATCGGATATACAGAAAAAGATTGAAGTTTATTCATTTGATGAGATAACGAGTTATAAAAATCGATGAGATCTCTACTAGAATTTTATTTGCAGAGTTTACAGTATAGAGATAATATATCAAATTGAATAAAGTTTTAAAATAATGCACTAGAATTATTAAATTTAACGCTGAAATCAGCTTGGCAATCAAAGTTATTACATCAAGAATGTTGCATTAATTTTGTACTATTACTATTAAAAGAAAGATAAAAAAATATCACTTTATATACTTTTAAAAAATATATTAGTGTTATCTTTAATTTTGTAAATATATATTAATTTTTTACAACCATATGAAAATCATAAAACCCCCACTTTTTTTTATATACAGTATTGAGAAGGATGGATACTCCAAGCAGCGCTCTATTACTCCACTCATCGATTGACAAAGATCCATTGACGTTGCCGCAAGGATGCTCCGGTATTTCGATCTCAACGAATTGGATATTGACACATGGTATCGTATTGGGTCCGATTATCGACAAATCCTATGCAGTATCGAATTTCGTTACGAACTTGGTACCGGGAGAACTCGTAACAGTACCAAGAGAACTCACGAGCGAGTTGAAATTTCGAGTCTATCGTGATTTAGGGAGCGATAACGATTCCCAATCAAGTTCATTAAAGGAACATCACGGTACGATTGTGGCTGCCTGGCAGTGTCCACTCTTAAAGAAGACCTTTGACGAGTTCTTCAAAACATGGAGCTTCTCCAAGTCATCCGAGTTCACTCGATCATTACGGTCGATTTTTCTATTCGTCCGTATCTACAATTCCAACGAATCGATCGAAGAAACGTCGCTCGAACAAGCCCTGTCTTGTTTACTGAATCAAGTTCCGCGGAATCTTATCCGCGGGTCATCCGTGATAATCGAGTCCACGCCCTTCGGCAATCCCGTGTTCGCCGGTTCGATTGCACACGGTGTTATCAGTAACGTCGTCGGTGACGAAGGCTGTGTTATCATGACGGATGCGTATGCGTTTCCCGGTGGCGAGGGCGGTCCCGTTTACATCATTCCGCCGGGCAGGTAATTATAATGACTCTTATAGAGAGTTCTATGTATTTATGTATGCATATTTTTGCCAAGAAATATAAACAAAATGCATTCTAATCAGATCATTCTAATCGGAATTCTGATTGCCGGAATGAAATTTCTGATTACTCCGAGCAGAATGTTTGATAGATATATAATGTATATTAATGCAGTCGCAAATATATAAAATTTTCCAATCATTAAAAAGTTATCTCTTGAGAAAATTTCAATAAAGATAACTAATCGCGCGCAATGATAAAAATCAATGGTTTATTTTTTTGTAAAAATTGTTTAAAATTATCTCACTATAAGCTGTTTTTTTTTTTAGCAAACACAGAATTATCAGCGGCATGGTGATAGCGCCATTGAGCTGGTGTCGCGGGGAATGGGTAGATTACACTTTCGCCGCTAATCTTGTGCCGTGTGTACTTAACATTTTGCGGAAGAAGAATCTTCGTTCGATTACGTATCAAGAAAATGTAGATGGTTTGTTATTGAATGTTATTTTCTATTATTATCTACATCTGCAAAAATATTTTTGTTATTCTTTTTCATATAGCGGCATTAGATAGAGGCGTCGTGCTCGTTAGATGTGGAATTAATTGGGGTACGGGCGTCCTCGTGCATAAGGATACTGGTACATTCCTAACATGTTCGCACGTCGTCGCGGAGGTAAACATTGAATTCTTAGAAAGAAATATTAATAGACATATTTATTATTCACATGAAAAGTGAAAAATAGAAAATACGCAGTATATTATAGCACACAATATGAAAATATTAAGTTTATTTTGCATGATAAATTCAGTGTATGCCGATAGATCTCTTATCGGATTATTAATATTAGAATTTTATCTGCAACGTTAAACATGTTCAATGAAATGATAACTAAGTCAAAATGAACTCTGATAGGCGCCAGAAAGGGAGATATCGATCATAATGAGGCCGGACAAGGCCAATTCATGTATCCGGGCGAAACTGTTGTACAGAACGCCAGAGAATCAACCCTATGACGTCGCTGTATTGAGGGTGGACCCGCAAGATGTGGATCCCTCGCTGAGATCCGTACGGTTGTCTCGTACTGCAATTTTAAAGGGTAAGTATATTTCAGTAAATCCTTTTTGTTTCATCAACAGGTATCGGAAACGATGCATTGGCTATCAATAATTTTAGCCGCTTCAAATAGTTCAAGTTGTTATTATTTGGAATGATAGTATATCGAAGTTTACTCTCGTGGTTTTCTTCGTAATAGAAGGAAATTAGTGATCCAGCAGCGTGTTAAACAGTTTCCTGGCGCCTCAACGCCAGGGACATTGACCTTCCATCGGAACAGAAATAACATATAATTGTAAAAAATTGGGTCAATTGATCGTCGTTGAGGGTGAAATTGATATTTGGCCTCATTCTTCCAACTTAGAAATCGACACATAAGTCATCCCATTTACCCGATCGCAATAAAAGTCTATTGCCACACGTTTTATAAGAGCTTTATTGAGTATGTTACATGAGCAGTGACGCAGAATTTTCAAAAGCGTTCGCTTTGCGAGCAAAAATAAACAGAATTACGTTGACACTCAAATTATTAATTACAACTTTTTAAAAAAATTGTCAGATATTTTATACGAATTGAATCATCATTTTTTGAAAATACTGAAAAAAATCTATATATTTTCTAGAATTCTTTATATTTATGAATTCTGAAATATTCTAAGACTTCTACGATTTTTCATCTTATAATTTTTGAAGTTTAAGGTATTTTTTCAGAAATTTTTATTTTAAAATACAATTAATTCTCAAAAATATTATATGAAATTTTTTTTTTACTAGAGAACTATATTCATAATACCTATAATAATAGAGTCACTCCCGTTTCAGTAACGTCGAGTTGAATTACTACACATTCTGGACACTCGATGGACAATTTGAGTGAACAAGTGCGTTTCGTGTGCTTGCAGGCGAGCCGGTAGTTTCCATAGGATTTCCGTTCTCCTCGTCCATCCGGCCGACTATCAGTGGTGGTATAGTCTCCAAGACGATGAACTGTGCACTCCTGACGACCTGTTGCGTTCAGAGCGGTACCAGCGGCGGACCGATCATCAACCGTGTAACCGGGGATATGCTGGGAATGGTCGTATGCAACGTCCTCTCTTCGGACGGCACCATACTCTACCCGCGGATGAGTTTGGCTGTGCCGGCTGCCATACTAAGCGGGCCCCTACGGGAATACTTGCGCACTGATAGTCAGTAAACAAATTTAAATTGACCCTGACGATCTAACGACTATACAATTTGGACGGAATGAACTGTAAGCCTTCCACGCCGCAGAAAGAGGCAAATGAAACTTATGCGCGTTCAAGCGGATTTTTTAATTTTTTCAAACACAGAGTCATATGTCGTAAATAATATTGGATAAAAAGAATAGTTTTGTTGAAGTATTTAAAAATTTAACTAGATCAACTTTAAAAATTTAAAGTTAATTAATTTTGACTTTTCTGAGCGTTTTAAACCGCAAATGACAGAAAACAGCTGATTTATTTTGCTTTTTTGTCTTTTCTTTGCAGATCCCAATGTGCTTCGAGCTTTCACGTGTGATGATGCGATAGTACGCAAGATTTGGGACTTCTATCCTTTCCTACCAGCCAAACTGTGAAAGGAGGGTACGAGATAAGAGCATAATTCAAGCTTTAGATCCGCTCAATTAATTGCATAAAGAATTAACTCTTTGCTATTCGATCCGCGCTTTTTATATCGCGTCTCTGTCATGTCATGGACAAACGTATCAAACTATTTGTGTTGCTGAACGTTTGTCTCTGAACCATGTTGGACTTGCCAATTTCAGGCACGACACGTCGCGAGCTCAATCTCGCGTCGAATCTCGTTAAATAATGTACGCCATTGACCGAGTTTAATGCAAAGAGAAAGTTTTTCGTGACGTCAAATGCGGCGATCAGTGTGCAAAGCGACACGAGTCAACGATCCTTCGGTACATACGATACATAAGGACACACCTAATTTTTAGTCATGATTTTTAGTACTGATGAAAATCGGAAGGCAGGATAAGATTATCAAGAAATTAAATTGAATACGTTGAATCGTTATTCATGTTTATTTTACTTTTTTTAAAATTAGGTATAGCTATATGACGCGGTCACAATATTGCCTTATACACTGCACTCGATACTTACAAAAAAATCACACGGTCAGACGATCGTAGGTAACGTTCGTGAGGAGTGCAGGGTGACGGATAGTCGGAGATGGTAAAAAGCAATTGCAATTGACAGAGATTCATCGTGTACAACATCGTTCCACGCACACCGTATATACAAGTTCGAACGAATTTATATGCTAAAAAATAAGTTACGTTATATCACTATTAATTTTGCTCGCTCCTGAATTCTCTCCTTCCTCTAATGTACTAAGAAAAACGGAGGAATCTACAACCTCGTGAATGAATGCGTCTTCGAGAATGACGATAGTGGACGCTTTTATATGATATTATAATTTCATATTCCTTTTTATCTCCTATTTCTTTTCTTTCCCTGCGCAAGATGAACGTCCAGGCGAAAAACGCGGGCAGCGCAGGAGCAATTAGTATTTTAAGATCTGTCACAGTTGTATGAATTTAATTACGATACGGAGATACGTAATATATTGATAAATATATATATTATATATATGTATATATTAAGATATATAAATAGTACGATCCTTTACACTAGAATTACAGATCATGTATATACATCATGGATGGAGTCTTCGTAATTATTGGAGCATTTGAAGAGTTTTTTTCCTTAAATCTAAAAATTTCCTCCGCGCGACGTTTAACTTTAATGACTCCTATTGTCCCTTAATCGATCTAATGATTTTCGATGCAAAAGTAAGAAAATAGCGAGTGTCCGGCTTGTCGCTTGCGCATCGCTTCGCGCGCAACATGAGGACTTTCGGGCGATACGACGTCCACTTTGATGAAAAGGACGGAGAAACGATAAGCAAGTTTCAAAAGTTAAATCTAAGTGTTTTGTTCGTCTTACTAGGAATCCACGGCCGGCACACCAACCTTGCAGTTCTCAATATAAAACAACAGCATTTATCGACAGAGATGATGCTTCGCGATGATGATCAACACCGTGTATATAGGGCATTCTAAAAGTCGCATTTATGTATTAGCTACGCTAATCAAAGGCATTTAGAAGTGAATTTATTTTTAATTACTATTCTATATATACTGATTTTATACCTAGATAAAAATATGTTTAATCCGTAATAGGAACATATTTCTTTCGACGCTAGTAAAACATATGGGGCCTTGAGACCCACTAAGGTTTTTAATCTTATTCTTTTTAAAATTTTTTCAAGTTCAAAATTGTGAAATAAAAGATTGTAAAATATAAACTTTCAAATGGTTAAAAATTAGGAAAAATTTCAAGATCATTAATATGTTCCAGTTACAGATTAAAATGAATGAAGAGAGCACGGTAAATTAATCTCTGCGATCGGGAGGAAGTATGCGAATCCTAGAATGACCTACGTTTTTGAGATAAATGCGCAACATCGCCAAAAAGAATATTCTATTTTTACGTGCAGTAAAAATTCACTCGACGTTTCAAAGTCTATTTAAGTACAAAACTATTGTGAATTAATATGCTATTACTAATCATCTTTCAAGAATTTGCCCTAAATAAAGCAAACTAAAGTAAAGTTAAACTGGAGATTCCAGATTTTGCGAGATTTCTTCCAGTCACAATTTGGGCATCGATGCCAACTATCACATGGAGACGAAAGCATTCGTATTTTTCCCCGTTAATTACGTGGCCTTAAAAACACCCAAGAGCGACTAGAATCCTTTCATGTTCGATTCACAATCGCACGTTATCTCACTTCGAGCCCGAACTTTTTCTCGCATGAGATTTTTTTTTTCGAAGAAAAGTAACAAGTCCTTGTGAAAGATCACACAAAGCTCTTAGCAAAACTGTAATTTGATCGTCAAGTAACTCGTATGCAGGCTCGTTTTAGTTTTTATAGCACACTCCGAATCGATTATGAGCGACGGTTCATTGTTGGTAACCATTCGGCGGATTCGGCGTTTCTTGACTGTCTATACTATAACCGGTAATACTATCTGGGCTTTGAAGAGACGCCGCGTAGAGCGGGTTGATTGGCGTAGTGTTCGTGTCGAATTGGGTCGAGTCATAAACACTGTGATTCTGGAAAGAAAAAAAAGAATTCCGCTTTGCATTTATCAAGGCAGGTCCCTGGTAATCATAATCAATTAGTCAGTTAATTTATTGAGACTCCTATTTTCTCACTGCACTCCCTGTGTAAATAAAAATTTTCTCAGAATTTTTATGCAAATTGGAACATTTTTCAGAAATACTGAGTAAGTATAATACTCTATATCTATTCTCAAAATTTTTCATATGTGAAAATACTCTAAGATTTCTCATTCTATAATTTTTGAAAAAATATCTTAAACTTTTTTAGATATTTCATCAGAAATTATACACAGTAAAAAGCATTTTGTATTTGTGTTAGAAACGAACTACTGAAATTCTACTGAAATTCTTGTTAAAATTTGTTGAATTTTTAATATATCTATTATCAACATAACGTGATTGTGTTATTTAAATATTTTGTGTTAAATTGATATTCAATATTTCTTAGTTCGGAAATGAGAAGTCATGATTTATTTTCTATACAAAATAAAATTCACATAATTTTTCACTTCCGATATTATTTTACACAAGTGCAATAAGAGAACGGAAATTTTAGGAGGGAAACTATTGTGAGACTATAACGATTATATTTTTGTGCAATATACGGAAGCTCGCAAAAATTCAGCCAAAAGCATTTTGAAATAATAAAATATCAAATTTCGCGTGTATAACTATTATAATATAATAATAATACATTGAAGCATTGATGCTAACAGTGTATACGTAATAAAATATCTTTTACGTAATAAAATATCATTTGAAAACGATCACGAGATTCCATCTCTAAAAAGACAGCAGAGTGATATCGTTGCCAAGGGAGTAATTGCCCGAAGTTAGTATAAATAAATGAAACCAAGTGCATTGTGACTACATTAATACGTTTAATTGCACGATATTTCTAAACATGCTCAGATATATACAGTTAGATAAAGCTCTTGAATGGTATCTCACCATTCATACTCGTTGTAATATAAAGATTAATAATTAACAAAATTAATGTAAAACTTAGGAAAACTATCTACGATATGTACACAGTAAGTCAACTGTAGCGGTACATATAAATAAGCTATTTACAAAGATTCAGTTTGCGTGTAAAAATCTGAATCCGTGGAGGGATTGGGATGTGCCTCGCTTTTTTTATGTTTCACAAATTTCGGGGACGTTATAGATAATAAATAATCACTTAAGCCACCTGGTTCTCCCTCCTTCGAATCGTTTTTATTCTTTCTGGGCGCGCCGGTTGTAAAAGAAGCTCTAGGAAGTAATTGTTGCGTAACGTTTGAATCAGGAGACATATCGTTTGAGTAAGTTTTAAAAATTTCGGTGCTAATACGCGTTGTTAAATGTCTCGGATCTGCACTAGCAGATCCATCTTCGACTAAATTGTCAGTGTCAGTTGTCTTTAATCGAGATTTTTTAGGAAAATTCGTTTCAATTTCGTGCGTTCCGCTCTCCAAAATGGAGTGTAAAGTATTTTCTAATGCTGGACCCTGAGCTATCTCTGAGCTATCGTATCCGTGCGGAAGATTCTCAAGTGCAGCCACGTGATCTACGATTATTTTAGACGATATATTATCTAAGCTACTTTTCCTTGTTTGAGAAAATAAGTTAATATTGCTATTAATTGTGTTTGGTTTGTAAAAGAAATTACTAGCGGTCTCGGTCGAGAGAAGTGAGATGCTACTGGGATCATCGTACATATCAGGAAGGGCCTTTCGGATCGGGCTGGAGAGTCTTAGATCCGGGACGCTTTTTTGGATGGCGGTAGATTTGGTTAAGGGATACTCGACCACTTTCGAAACGTCTTTTTCTATACTGGAATCTCTACCAAAGCTTCTAATACCGGATGTTGAGTGATATGGCTTAACTGGTGAACCAAAAGTACTTGAGTCATTATTTTTGGAGTCTTTAGCGGATGTTAAGGAATAAAGAGAAGCTCTTGGTCTAGAGGATTTTGATGCATGGGAATCATACAGCGGTATGTGAATAGAAGGAGTATGGACCTGATAGATGTAATCGCTGTCGGTTTTCAAGGATGAAAAACTCTGTTGGTGCGGTAATGACACAGTGTCTTCGTCCATCGCGTCATCCACTTGTGCTTTATAAGAGAACATTATCGAAGGTTGCGAAACCCTAAAACAGAAGGATTTCTAAAATGTATCAATCGCACATGATAGTGCAATTGTTTAAGACTCATGTTCACTCACCACTGCTATCTTATATAGTGACGTCAAAAGCGGAAATATACATATTATAATAAAATTTTTGCAGCATATATTAATATAGAAATATGTTCCAATACAACAACATTTACAATTGATGGAAGCAAAATACTAAAATTGTAAAATACTAAAAATTCTCTTCTTTTTTCATTAATTAATAAAATCTTATATCAGCTAAAATTAAGCATAAAAAATGATATAAGTTATGTTCATATCTATAACAAACTGTTAAATTAACAATATATAGAAATAAATAAGATTTAATTTCTTCCTTAAATAAAAAGATAGTTTGCAATATATTTTATATTAAGCCTATCGATTATAAATGTTATTTTATTGAAAAATATTTGAATTCAAATATAATTTGCAAGAATTTTTACTGTATTTTCTTGCTTTTGATATATCATAAGAGATAGTAATACTGAGTTAATAAAAGCCTTAAGTTGCATATCGCTAAGTAGCAGCAACTTACCCGAAGAATTCCGATAGGAATGTATGATAAACCAAAGGGGTAAAAAGAGTTAAATATACTGCTGCAGTGAAGTCTACGATGCATAATCCCACTGGATTTTGCGTGTAGTTTAGAAAGCCTGCGCCAATCGACTGTACTAAGTCCAACGTCGCTAGTATTCCAGCGTAAACGTAAAAACTTTTCCGTGCTACAATAGAAAGCGTATCATAAACTCGTAATCAGTGATGGAACTATAATCTTTATGACAACAGGTACTTACTAGGAAGTGCTAGGCGGTCCCGCAACCGTGTCCATGGCAGTATTAATATGAAAAGATATATCTAAAAACGACATCGATATATTCAGTAATACGTATCGATTTTCATCAGCAAGAAAACAACGTATGCGTAAGCTTACCGTTGTGAAAACGAGGCTACTGCAAAACCAAAACATCATGCCGCCATGACCGAATACGTAAAAGTCGCGGCTGGGAATATGAAATGTATCGTCCGGTAAGACCAACTCCAGTGTTCCTTGAGTGATCGTGAATGCCAGCGCTATGAAGGATGTAGCAAGTAATACTCTACGAATACTAGAGCGGCTGTCCAAATGACCTAAGATGATTCGTACATTAGCAAATAACTACACTACCGTTCAAAAGTCTGAAGCACTCTGTAATTTTTAAATAGAACCACAAAAATATTTCAAATATCCATAAAACATATAGTAATAAAATAATAGATTATTCTACATTTACTAGTAAGAATCTTGAATAGCTTTTCCATTCATAGATTTCATCCTTGTAAATCCTTGTAAATTCTTTCTGCGATATGTGTGTTATATTAAAGCAATTGTAACAAATCATGATGACCTGAAAATAGCTTTAAAAATATATTTTTTACAGATATAATTATTTTATTAAAAATAAAAAAAATTTTATTTTTAAACGTACGCATTATTGAAAATTTATTTAAAAGTTTATGTTGAATATATACATTCGTATTTTTCATATATTTGCGATGTTAGTAAATAAAATTGATTAAATTTTCTTTTCAAAATTTAGAGGTGCTCCAAACTTTTAAGCGGTCTCCTTCTTTCCTTTTTTCGCGAAAAGATTTTCTATACACTACTCACCGAACGCTAGACCAAATATAACTACACTCATCTCGGTAGATAGTAGAAAAAATCTCACTGTGACCCATAGGACCTTGTCGGCCTTGCCGCCGACCGTTGCCGCCGCGTTCACAGTCATCGACACGACGCAGCGCACTACTGATATAACTACATTACAAATGACCAGACCATAAAACGCTAAAAATATTGGGCTACTCGTTGCACGTAACTTAAGCCTCGCCCTGTTAAATCGCATTGCGATGAACAGAAGAAACAATAGATTCGGTACCAGGATGATGATATCCCATATTCGCACTCTGTAGAACAAAATACGATGGATAGATTATCCAGTCAGATCGGATATCTTCAGATAAAAATCATAAGATCGAGATAATATCTAGTAAAAGTCATTTTGGGAAAAATCATAATAATTCTATTCAATATATTTTTGACAATGATTTTGTGATGAATTCTTGATAGAATGATTTTTAAGTGAATTTTTAACTTAAAAAAAAAATTACTTAAAGATTACTATCATATCGAGAATTCATTACAAAATCATTATCAAAAGTATACCGAATGATCTCATTATTCTAAAAAATTAGTACTTTATATCATCTTATTATTATGATTTTATGTTCTATCTGGGTTGTGCTGCCACATCTGCAGCGATCACCTACCTGGAATCCTTGATCTCCTTGTACAAAATAAGTTTGCAGAAATGCTCCTCGTCATCCATCGCCGTGCTCGCATTGGGAATCATAGTACTGCTCAGGTCATACGTATGCAGCCAACTTTCAGACACCTCCTCCCTCTCAGCGCCGTACATTTCCTGCTCTCTCAAGCGTTGCGCCAGATCCTCCTCCTATGGTTTCACTGACAGGAGAAACAAGGAAATATCAAAACGATAACAAACATAGTCTATTAAATTAATATCCATTTCAACCAATGTATAGTTTAATTTTTATCTCTCTCTAATTTATTCTTTCATCTTTTCCTACTTTTTTAGAACCAGAGAAAGATAAAAAGTAAGACAGAGTTATAATTAAGTCATAATGATATCACGAAATGTTATCATGATATTATTTGTCACTTAAAAATTAATTACATAAGTGAGATCACAATGATTCTTTATGATAGTATTATGACTTCTGTATTCTATTTGAGATTCAATCGAGATAAAGTTAATCTACATTGAACATAAGAGATGTTCGGATAAAAGACTTCTGCGATTGATGACTCATATCAGATAAACTCGCGGTGTTTAAATCTTGCATATCTCGAGCAATCTACAGCTGACACGAGAGAAATGAAAACTGTGAGACACTAACCTAATCTATGATATGCTCTTTGCTCTCTGATTTATGTTTTTTTTTCACTTTTTACTCTTTTTAACTCTTATACTTTAGAAGAAAACTAAGGAATAGCTTTAAGAATAGTCTTCTAAGCTCACAATGCTAGCGAGCACACTTACATGCAACTTCCGTGAATTGATTGGAGATGTTATAGTATCACTAGTAAAGTCAACCTCGAGTTCAGATAAGATAAAATCAATAAAAAAGAAGAGAAAAAAGAAAGTTCTTATACTTGATGCTTTTCAGTAAGTGATACTTGGTGGTTTTCTAATAAGACACAGTAACACAATAATCTGTTTAACATTGACAAATAACAAGGAAGTAATAATTTACTATATTAACTGTGTCTCTTGCTGGGAAGCAATCACAATGTAATGCATGGTGCTTTCTAGCAAGAGACACACTGAGTGCTTTGGTAACACAAGTCGACATTAATGTGGTTCTATCTTTGTTATTCTGTGAATATCAAAAAAGTTAGAATGATGTTTGTATCGACTTGTGTCACTAAGTGGAAAGCACACAGTACAACATATTTGTTTAATGACAAACAAGGATGTGATAATTCACTGTGTTATACTATGTCATCTGTGTCATGTTGAAAAGCAGCTGCAGTGTAACACAATGATCTTTGTTTAACATTGAACAATAAGGCTATAATAATTCACTGTATTATCCGTATTATTTACTATGTCATCCATGTCTCTTGTTGCACTCACTGTTTCTTCGTTTTCTATCGCCCGATATAAAAGTTGACGAGCTTCAGAAAAGATAAAAAACACATGACAAGAAATACGATTGTTGTTAAAAACACGTTGACAAGAAAGAAAAAAGAATAGGAGGTAAAAAACAAAAAAACATAGGAAGGTAAAAAACACTTTGTAGCTTAGGTTTAAAACGCTTAAAACAAAGCCAGAACAAACATAACCTAAAAGAGATGTTTCCAAAGCCGTCGATCTCCAAGGCGTTTCGAATTCGCGAGAGGCGCCCGGTTGACGACGGGCGACGAGATCGTGATCGAGAAGTCGCCGAAATCTTCCTTGGAGGCGAGGGTACGAGTCTTGAAGTCGATACCAAGGCGAAAGAAATCGATAAATAGCTTGGCTATTGTGTAGCTGTCAAACGATCGTTCGAGGGGAGTCGGTCTCGTGGGAGCTCTCTCTAACCCGACCGTAACCGACTTGAGCTATATTAATTAAATAAGGCGAGCATTGTTAATCGGCTTACCGAGCACGAGGACGTCGTTCTCATTTTCTCCCTGAGAAATGGCGCGTTCGTTCCGGCTAGCCGAGGCAAACACTCGGTGCGTGACGGACGCGTCTCTCGCGAGTCTCCTTTCCGCCTTTCCAGTCTGCTTCACTATCTCTCTCTCTCTTTCTCTCTGTCCCTCTACAGTTCACCTTGCTTGATGTCTCTTTATCTCTCCCACGCTTGTTGTCTCTCTTCCTCTATCATTCCACGCTCTCGCGCACTTCAATCTTCAATCGGTGTTCCGCTACAAGATCCCAGTGTTCATTCTACTGATCGGTGCTCGTTCTCCCCGTCGTTAATTAACCTTGGAAACGGAATAAGATATCGATAAATATAGCTCGATGTGTAGAATCGCTGTCATCGTACGCCAAAACAGAGAGTGGAGTATCGCTGCAGGAGGCAGAAGGACGTTGCATCGTTCCAATGTGTTGACAGGTGACGCCACGATTCGCTCTCTGCCGCCGACCGTGTTGTTAAATTAATAATAAATGATTACACTCGATTGTTTTCATGCTTTTGTTTTCGTTAGTTTTCATTAAACAAGAAAATAATTGCTACGATTTGTTTAGAATCTCGCCTGTCGAGTTTCTAGTCAGTTTGATATCTGTATAGGTTAGATGACGTTTGACAGTGCTGTAACATGTGAAGTTAGACGATGGTCGGAAATGCAAATCTGTTGATGAGCGTATTCAAGATTTTGTTCAAGAGGGGAGACAAAAATTTATTTTCACACAATTTATTAAAATATTTATATTAATTAAGAGATATGACTATCTTAAAATTTTGAAAAAATCGACCTTTTTCTTGCATTTTCTTAAAGTTTAAACTTTTTTCAATAATTCTGGGAGTATTATTTGTGTATAAAAATTATAAGAAAAATTTTTACGAGGAAATTAATTAATATAAATATATGTATAAATAAATAATGTTATATAATATAATAATATAAATAAATAATACTAATAATTAATGTAATATAATATATTTATACCCGGTAAAAAATTTTTTTATGCATGAATATGTATAAACATACATAACACGCATAAATATTCATAAACATGTATATGAAATATGTCCATACGTGTTCATATATCCTTTTTTCTTTTGTAAAATTATTTTTTAATGTAATAGAAATAATAATAGTAATGTGAAAACATTAAAAATAATTAAAAAGGTAATTTTCGCACTATTTATATTAGAAAAAAATCAAGAAGAAATTTGAAGAAATGTAAAAAAATTACTTACGTATAATTATAAATAAAATTATACATAATTATATATGAATTTTTTTTACACTTTTCCAAACTTGTTATTTTTACATTTTTCGAAACTTTGTTATCCTTGCATAAACATGTATGGACATATTTCATATATAATTATACATATTTATGAATATTTATGTGTGTTTGTGTATATTTATACATATTTATACATATTCATGCATGAAAAATTTTTAATATTATTAAAATAAATAATGATATTATAAAATTATATTAATATATATATGTAAACATTGTGTTTGTTTAGGTTTTTTTTAACACGTGGAAAAAATGACCGTCAATTATTCCAGCAATTTATTGAAAAACGTTCATGAAAATTTAGCCTTGCCAGATAACGGTGAAACATTCTTAGTTCAAGGAGATTACGAGTACTGGCACTATGGTTGCGATGGTTTTAATGACAGAGTGATTATGATTAATTGAGATATATAATCGCAACTAACATTCTCTTACGTATTAAATCATCAAAATAAATACATTTACATTTATTTAGGGTTGGGGGTGTGGATATAGGACACTGCAAACCATTTGTTCATGGATCATAAATAATGAAAATTTGGAAAAAATTGTTCCAAACATTAGTAAAATACAAGAGACTCTTGTCGAAGTGGAGGATAAAGACAGAACATTTATTGGGTCGAGAGAATGGATAGGAAGTTTCGAAGTAAGCTTAATTCCCTTAGCACGTATCGGAGTTTTAAATGTAAGAGGATTTGACGGACTTGACATTTCAAACATTTTATAGGTATCGATTGTTTTAAATCAACTTTATGAAGCTCTTAGCAAAATAATTTACGTGTCGAGCGGAAAGGGATTAATTGACCAAGTGGATAAGATTAAAAGACATTTCGAGCAATTTGGCAGTCCGATCATGATGGGCGGAGACAGGGACTGCTCTAGCAAATGTATAGTAGGATTACACGTTGGAAACAGAGGTGTGTATTTGTTAATTGTAGATCCACACTTTGTTGGTAAAGCAAAAAGTGTGGAACATTTAAAGAACGATCAGTGGGTGAAGTGGCAAAACTTGGATGATTTCGTCGACAGCTCGTTTTATAATATGTGTTTACCGCAACTTAAGTATCGCGAACTGTGCGATAAATGATGTTAATTATTTATACGAAATAATTATGTATTTTCACTAAAAATTATAATTTTGTACGCTGATCTTCGATCGATATTCGATTGATAAATATTAAAAAATTGAACGTGATATTCTGTCTTTTCTTTTCTCATTTATTGTTATGTGATAAAAATTTATAGAATTATACATAATCCTTAAAATTACGACAGTTTAAAATAGCTTAATGGCCATTCATTGTTATGCTATAATGAATACTATTAATTAATAGTAAACGTATTATTTATACGTGAAATATACTGGAGAATACAACAGTTCTTATCTTTTTTCCATTGATCTCAAAGATCTTTAATCTGTATTTAACACTAGACAAACACCCTGAAGTATCCAATAAGAAATATGTTTTGAAGTCGCCAAATTTGCCTCAAAAACTAAACCAGCACCGAGAGCATTTCGTCGATTCGACGTAATATATACTGGAGTTTTAAAAGTATTCTGTAACAAGCGTAAAAATAAATTATCCATTTTATCTAGAAGTTCTTCACAAAAATTGCAGTTACTTGAAAATATTAATGATCAGTTAAATCGTTTTATTTGAATATTTCAATAAATAGAAAATGCCTTATTTAGTCTGACATGAGTTAAACTGCTTACACGGTTTATCTTTTCATCTTTTCTTTCTATTGCAGAAAAAGAAAAAAATTAACTGTTTAAAAAATTCAGCTAAAAAGAAAAGATCTATATTTATACTTATTTAGTTCTGTAAATTGCATACCGATTTAATTTTCGATCTTGAAATGCAATCTTAAAACGAAATTAGGATAGTAATATGAATTGAATCGCAAGTATATATGTCGTATGTAGAAGAAAAGGGACAAAGTACAAAATAAAGATATTGCTTAATTAATTGAAAGAACCATAATTAATTAGTCCATTGATTCATCAATAATAGTATAGTAAAGACGGCATGGGGATGGAAACGACCGCCCCGGATACTACCTTTTCTTTCTACGTCATTAGTAGATCGGCAAATTCAATACCTGTAACTTCAATCTATGAACTTCAGCAGGTATTATGGTTAATATTGGCAGCGCTTCAAACAGAACTTTTGGATGCGATCTTTTTAAACAATGCTCTTCGATGTCCCACCTAGCGCCTTCCAGATACAATCCGTACACGTAACAGCCCTATTTAAAACACGGATGGAAGAGTATAATGCGATATTGTTGCAATTTTAATAAAATATCGAAAAGTAAATGTCGTTGGGATTTGCCTCATCGGGTCTTTCTTCTACGTCATCAGGCTTGAAAAACTTGGATACCGTCGTGTAAATAACGGAATGATCGAGGGGCCAATTGTTCTTGCGGCAAGTCATTTGCACCAGAGCCGCCAGATAAGTTTCTGGAACGTGCAATCCAGACAACCACAGTACTACGGGTTCATTCGCGCCGGACTAACAGGGAGAAAAAGTAGATTTTAGACATTATTAATTGCGAAGAGATTAATGCACACCTCTTACAGAAATTTTATTTGGAAGGTGTGTAATCATTAATTACTTATTTTGAGTATTAAAAGTGCTGCATTAATAATGGGAAAATTTTCTGGTTGAAAATGAAATAACCAGAAGGTTGTGATCACTAATCAGAAGTCTAGTTATTTTAATTAGAATTTAATAGATAGTTATTTTAATTAATTTAATAGATTCAACCAGAAAATTCTGATCTGTTCATTTTCAACCAGAATTCTAATTAATGCAACTAGACTCTTTTTTCAGTATGTAATTCAGCTTTTAATATTAAAAATGAATAATTAATCATTATTTTTTAGTAGCAAATTAAATCTCTGTAAGGGATGTTATAACATTTCGTTTAATCATACCCAATTTGTGTATTGGTTTATCCTCTGCTGAAAATGATCCATCCAACCGGCGAGGTTCTTTCGCGTGTCTGGCGCCAATTTGGCCCATTCCTTAGGTAGCATACCGTTATAGAGAGCTATGGAAATATTCTCTAGCACAGCGTCCATTCCAATCTCGCCAGCGATGGCCTATAATTTTAATTTGGATATCAGACGCGTTCTTAATTGACAATATTCTAAAACAAATTCTCATTGCACATATTTTTAAGAATTTTTTACATTTCAAATTTATATTATTATATTACAAAAAGTTTGAAACTCATCTCTTCCTTATAATATTAATATAAATCTAGGACAAAATAAATTCCTCCTTTATTATTAACTGCTTCTCTTAATATAAATATAGAACAAAATAAAGTTATTATGAAAAAGTAGAATTTTAATAAGGGTGGTATATAAAGATTAATAAAAATGATAAAAATGTATTTTGTGTAGAATCTTCTCTCTCTCTCTCTCTCTCTCTCTCTCTCTCTCTCTCTCTCTCTCTCTCTCTCTCTCTCTATACGTAATTAATTAGTTATTAAATAATTAAATAATTAAATTAGATCTATGCATTTAACAAGGTGAAATTTCGTAGATTTAGTGACCTTTCTCAATTGATTTAATGTTCTCGTAATCGTTTCTATTAACTTGTTGAATCTTTCCAGTTCCTGAAATAGAACGATCGCAGTCGGTGTCACGGCAACGCCAAAATTTCTCTTGACCTTACTAATATCATATGGCATGGGTATCTTGGTCAAGATTTCCTTCGCTATGTTATCGATGAATTCATCTTTGCTGATACCGATGTCGCTCACGGCTAAAGAATTTAACGTCATTTTAATTATAATGATATATCATTATAATTTATCGGAAAATGCAATAAATTCGAAAGTGTGACTTACTCTTTTTATCCAAGTGAGCTACAAACAGTTTTTAAATAAAATATAAAATTAAAAATTACTTAATTGAAAAATCATTAAAATGCAGCTTTCTTGAGAATAAAAGCATAGCAATAAAAATGATGTAATATTAATTTAACTTATTTAAGTAAATTTATTTTTAGTATATTTGGAAACTCGAGTATAAAAATTTGTATTTTAAAGTATTTTTAATATTGTAATTGCCCCAAGTAGATTAACTTATGTTTAAAAAACGTTTAGCGAAATCTTTTTATGGTGTATAAAAAAATAATAACTATATACTATTATTAAATCATTGAAATGTCTCATATAAAACGGTGTTTTAAAACGATAATAAAAGATAAACATTTTTATAACGTTTATTAAAACGTTTTTAACGTAATTGTTGTGCTTGGATTACGTCAATAATTTTGCCATATGATTATTACAATTATTATTACAGAAACAGTGTTTGATAAAACAAGAAAAATATATAATGTACTCGTACCAGTTTGCGGTTGAAGTTCTATGAGATGCTTCCACATTCCTTTAACTGCCTGCGTAAAGAATCCAATCTCGGCGTTTGAATGCAGCCCAAATATTTCGGGACCATCCACCATCGAAAGTTCTTCAATAAATTGTAAATAATCGTCGCGATTTCCTTCTGGCGGAATCACATAGTCGACAATATTGTCCTTGTAAAAGTGAAACGGTTGGTACTCGTTAAAGAGAAAATCGCCGAAATACTCGTCCATGTAAGTGTAAGAAATGCGACGATCGTAACTGTCCATCACTCTTCCGCCGTACATTACCTGATTATTTTTGAGCATATAATAATTTGCATTCAAAATTTATACAAAAAAAAAACTCAGGATGACAATAAAAAATGGAGATTCTAGACCAAAAGTTTGGAAACACTTTAAAAATCAACCTGGAATGTATATGTATGTCTAATTCTTTTGTCATCATTCTAAGTATTTTTAGTATAAATGTTTGAAAGTATATAAATATATAAATTAATCGAGAGCTTATATTATACTTTTAATATACTATGTAGATCGCAGAAATCAAACATACTTCGCCAATTAAATATTTGAGGCTATTCCACGGTACTTCAGACTCCTTCGTCGCCATTGCCTTCGTCAAATAAGTGTCTAAGATGGTAATGCACACATTAAAATCTGACTCGTTGAAGTCATATTTTAAATTCCATCCAATTTTACCGTACTTTCTTCTCTCCTGCAATGTTGAGAGCACTTTAATAAAAAAATTACTCTGAGGATTAAACATGCAATCACATTAAATATTCGCTTGCCTGGATAACTGCGTGATAAAATGCTAGAACGTAAATTAAATGCTTGTAAAGAGGATGAGAACAACTTTCCAAGACCTGCGGCCGCATATTAAAGTACGTGTTTTGCAAGTTTAGCTTCAATCCACTCGGCGGTTCCGTCACCACTGCAAATAAATTTCGTTCAAAAATATGATATATAACTTTGAAATATAATAAGTATTCTACCTTTTAAAGATTGTTGAAGTATTCCGATTGGAAAATTAAGGATGGGTTCCGTAGTGAGCCACAAGCGAAAATCGGGATGAGGCTTCTCTATATTCTCCACGATCTTTTCTAAATTCTTCGTGAAGGACAGCAGTAAATGGCAATTCTGGAGCATCAGCCATTGACCTCTTATTGTTGCCATTCCCAATAATTCCATTGCGAGCTATTAAACAAATAATTTTTAAAAGGCAGTTAAATGCAACTTTTTTAAAATACAGAAAATTAATGTTAATCGTTATTTTATACTATAAGACAAGCCTGTCCAATTTGAGCTCCAAGAGTCAAAAGGCAAAGCTATCGACGTAAAAAAATTCAATATGAGTAAGATTTTAGGAACTATAACATTGATAAGCGTCATTTAGATCGTATCAACACTTTACAATCCCTGAAATCTTACCCATATTGAATTTTTTTGCATCGATGGCTTTGCGTTTTGGCTTCGGAGCTCAAATTAGACAGACCTGTTACAAAAAATATTGAATTATCAAATTAGTATGAAAAGTTCAAATAACACAATCACATTACGTTTCAATCACATTAATATTCAGATATGTTTAAAATTTTTACGCAAAAATTTTAACAAGAACCAACTTTAACATAAATACAAAATATTTGTTATCGTATATCTTACTTTTTCTTGGCTCTGACCGAGCGAAAGATATTTAAACATTCCTCCGTAACCGTATCGATCAGCCAACTTCATCAGTTCTGAAGTGGGATCCGAACCCGGGCTTAAAATGAAAACTACTGGCATGGTCGGTGTACTTTCCTCGAAAATCACGTCGAAGCTCACGTAAGGCGGCTTAATGTATTGCTTGCCCATGATTTCGATAATGTAATTGATAACACCACGATATACGCGATCGATTCGAAAACAGCGTAACAACATTAACTTTTCGAACGGTGTCACTCGCGTTCTATAATCACACGGAAATTCTTCAGATTCTGGTGTATCCGAATCGTACCACTGAAACGGATAATTAATTATCTAAGTAATCACTTTTCTCAATAGAATGATATTTTTCTGTGTGTGAAAAAATGGAATATATTTTTAAGTAAAATTAAAAATTATTATTTCCACTATAGTTTTGCACTAAAATTTACGACATTAAATTATAGTTACTATTTTGCATTTTTAGTTTACCTTCTTCCATTCATCTTCATAATCTCGTATTTCTTCCGGAAGTTGTCCGAACTTCTCTGGGAAATCGCTCGCCAGCTTGACAACATCCTCCCAACCCGATAACGACAGCCATTTAGTAGGATTCGATTCTACTTTTTCTAGGACTACATTGCCCTTGATGAAGAATTCTAATTGCTTCTGATTCACGTTGCCTAAGTTCTGTTCTATCTTCACGCAAGTTTGCAGGGAAAAGAGCAACTTGTGCCGCGCGAAGATACCAGTGCAGCCGTAATCATAGACATTCTTCGTTAACATTGGAATAATGTTTTGCAGTCGTTTAGTGACCACTGGATCTGGTAACGCTCTCTTCAGCGAGTGGATGAACACCTCAACGTAACTGATCAGAGAGTATTGATACATGGTATTTATGGTGGCCATATCGGCCAGCACAGAGAATAGAATTGCGCCTCGTTCCGCTACCGGACGATAGTTTTCGCGAAGTTTGTTGATGTCGGCAGAAGTGATTTTCGCGAACAATAGCTTCTTCATTACTTCATTGGCGCTGGACTTGATGTTTTCCAAAGTCTCGATCAGCTCGATGTTATCCACCATGTTACCTTCCGCGGAAATCTCGCGAAGAAGACTGTTTTCCAAATTCTGCAGCAGATTCTTATTCTCGCTAGTTTCCAAAATCAGCGTTTCACGTTGTTCCTCGATGTCCGGTCTTTCAGTTTTCACCACTACTGATAGAAGTTGATTCTCCAAACCCTGAAGAAAGGTGAGAATTTATTACAAACTTAAATTTGATATATTTATATTTTTTTAAATTAAAGAAAAATTACTGTTTCCTTAAATAAAATATAGTTGTAACATAATTATAATTATATCGAAAACAAATGTTGAGAAATAGAAAACTTGTAAATCAATGTTCTAATAATATATATTGATTATAATTTAGCTCATTAATTATGATTGTATCATAATTATAATGAAGTTAACTCACTGCTGTAGTGACCATGTAATTGATGACAACTGCCTTGGAGTATAAAGTAGGATCCAGCATCGGATTAGACATTTTTGTTGTCAAATACATTCTGAATTGCGGATCATAATCTATCTCTTTATCGCCGAGAATGACGAAAGTTCGTCCTGCAGCAGCTACAGAAATCAAATCAAAACAAGTTTCAAGTTTTTGCGAACTGCAATTATATATATCGATTCATGAATTCATTTAAATTGTATGACTTACTCTGGATATTTTTCATTAAGACGTTAACCAAAATGAGATCAACCTCGTCGGCATCTTGAACGAGCACAGGTAGACCATATTTAATTGCTAATTCAATTTGCTTCAAGAAATCTGCGTCCATAAAGGAGAGGACCTTTAGATTCTTCTTCTCTTTTTTCTTAATCCAATTTGATGCTTGTTGTTGGGGATCAATACAAAGCGGAAATCTAGATGCTTTCAGAGTTAGTATACCGTTTTGTATGGATAGTTCGTCTGATGGAAGACCTTCCGAGTTCCAACTGCAAATTACATTAAATATTAGAAACACAGTGTTTATATTGCTAAGCTATACGAATATATTTGTTAGAAAAAATAGAATAGCGATTACTCATACAACTACAAAAAAGCTAGTTTAGCTTTACAGCAATGTTACTGTATCACGCTGGAATGTTTCAATTTTGCTACAATATTGATGGAATGATCTGTACTACCATGAATAATAACAATAATTGTTAATCCTAATTAATATTTGTAAGTCCGGCCTTTTTTCAATTATGCGCTAAACTTTGCGAAAAATTATTTATATCAAATGTTCTTCAAAACCTTGCATAATTTTAATTAGATAATTTTATTTCTTAAATTTTGATTCAAAATATGTATTAAAAAAAATTATTGTATTACGTTGCGAAGATACTTTCTAAGTCCTTTAAAGAGATTTACTCCAAAGAATGCATCAAGTTTTGTCAGGTACATTGAACTTGCAAATATCAGTTAAGAAAATTTCAAAACGAATACTAATTAAGCGGTTAAAACTGTCTTTGCATTTTCATTTATTTCTAATTTTTAGAAATTTAATGGCATTTGCAAAATTTTCATTTTAATTGATACCATATTGTAAATAAAGAGAAAAATTATATAACATTTAATTATGTAATAAGATAGGAAACAATTTAATTATGTAGTGATATATCTATGTGCTGTATGAATATGCAGGAGTCTCGTAATTTACTTGGTAATTTCGATGTCGTCGCTCAGTTGTGTTTCGAGCTTGAAGGGCATTGATAAAGGTAATTCCTTGTCTAGGATGCTCCTCTCCCAGTCACTGTACATTTCATTCCTGAACTCGTAGGAAAAAGGACCACTATAAGTCAGAAAGGATGCTCCAAGCAAGCAATTTCCTATGATTTTCTTCAAGTCGTCGTGAAGAACCTCCAGATCCTTTTGCCATCGTTCATTCTCGGAGGACAATCCGGAGATGAGTTTGTCAGCAGCCGAAAGACGTCGTTCTAACAAATCTGTTTCATCCTGAAGACTCTGTCGCTTAGTCATCGCGACGTCATATTTCTCGTTTAATTCTTTGATCATTTCCTTCAATCGCTTTAATTCCCGTTCTTCCTTTTCTAACGCGCGCTTGGCTTTTTCGGACTCCGCTTCGAGTTCTTGAACTCTGTCTATCTTTGGTTTCACCTAAAACGAGAGATCGAAGGTAAAATATTAGCGTAGAGATTTATATAATTAACAATTGAACTATCGTACAGTTTTTTATAATTGGTCCCTTTATAAAGACCTTATGACGAGTAACATATTCTAAAGTATTGTTGAAAAAAATATCTTTAACGAATATTAAATATTATTTGTTGAAATATTAGTGCAAGGTTTACAACGCGGATTCTCACTAGTTAAATTTTTTCTTTTTTATCGTATTAGAATTTAGGAAATTTTATTTGTATTTTAAATTATTGGTAGTATTAATTTATAATAGTGTAATATTTATTATATATATTGAGGACTTGGACCGTGATGAATCTTTAAATAATGAAGAATAGAAAAAAAAGATCAAAAGAAGAAAAAAGATTAAAAGAAAAAAAAAAGAATAAATAAGAAATGAATAAATAAAGAAATAAATGAATAAAATTAGATTTTAGGTAAAAGTTAATAGATGAATTGTCAATTAAAGCTTACAAAATAATGTAATAAATACCTCTCTATAAACGGCGCAATAATCCAGAACAGCAAGCACGAACTTGTATAAGCCGTATCCTGCTTTACTGATGACTTGCATCTGATCCAGCTTATCCGACTTCTTCAAATGCGCTCTTACCATTTGTTGTTGCTTCAGAGTGATCAAGTCGCAGTTCATCTCCTGCAAGTGCTTCAAGAAATAAGGATCGCTCATCATGCCTTTTGCCGTTTTCCACGACACGTCTTTGACGCCACGAAGCATCGCAACGCATTCCGAAACAATCTGCACTGGTTCGGGCGGAGTGGGAAAGGATCTGAATAGTCATTACTGATTTTTAGCAAGTTTGAAGATTAATATTTTTTGATTAATATTCTATTAGGCGATTTTCTTCACTTTTTTAATATTCAATGGATAGTTGATAAATATTAGAAATATTAACAAATCTTAGAAACGACCGAATTCACAAAAGTACTTTTGATAAACTTCAAACCTATCCATTATTAAGATTTATGTTTATAAATATCTTTTGTTTGTCACATTACAAGCTATATTATATGTAAAGACAAACGTATCGTCCTTTAAACAGATGAATTTTATATAATATAAAACCTATATAAATAAAGAAAAATAGTAATTAATCTAGAATGAACCTTATCTCGGTAATATCTGCTTTATCGAGGTCACTCAATGCAAGTTTGGCCGCATCGAGGATCGGTTGAGCCTCCGCTAAGGCTTGCCTAGCTTCCATTTCTTCTTTCGTAATCATTTTCTTCTTATCTTCAATTTCCTTCCTCTTGTCTTCACTCAGAGTCTTTTTTTCCAACGCGATGTCTGTGCTCTTACCGATAGTCTCGAGCAACTGTTCGCAGTTCCTCGTTTGATCATCTATTTTGATTCTTTGCACTGCCAAGATTTCATTTAATTCCGTTAAAGTCATCGAAGCTTCTATCATTTTCTGTAATCCTATAAAAAAAATTTATTATACGAAAACGAAAAATTCTGTCGAAAGACAATTTTTCTTAAATTATACGAAAACATAAGACTTTTGAAAGATAATTTCTTTTAAAAATGAAATAAGAGAAATAAAAGATGATATTAAAGAAATATTATTAAATTTATTGTCTTTATTGACTTCATATTTTATTAATGAAGAAATATAATAAAAACTAAAATAATTTCGTATAAAAGATTTTATAAAAAAAATTTGGCAACTACCTCCGGAAAGACGCGTGCAGCGCGAATTTATGAAGTTCTTCTTCTTCACCAATAGATTCAAATAAGTCTTGATAAAATCTATAAAATGCCATGGCGTGACATAATTTTGTCGCCTCAATTTCGTCACAAAGTCCATTGTATATTGCAATACGGATGTATGTACGTATACAATGTGACTCACGATCACTTCCTTGTACTCTTGCGGCACGATCGAATTCTGAAAGAAAAGGATCTCTCATTTCATGTTGGAACATTTCAAGTAGAACAAAATATCATATCGAAATGATGTCAAAGTGTCTCTAAAATACTTAAAGTCACTTTTCGATCAGTCGATGATTCATTATGACTTTATTGAGATCTTATTCTGCTTAGGTTTTTTCGCCGTTTTATTTTTGCTTACGTTTCTGACTAGAACATTCGCTACCGCTATCAAAGCCTGCTGTGGCCACGGGAACATCCAATCTATAGTGGTATTGTTGATTAAACCGGGATAGTCGCGACAGCGTGTCCGTAAAGCATCGTTCGATGGATTCATTGCCAACGCTATTCGTAAATTCGCGGTGCATGTCTTAACAACATTAGCTCTGCCCAAAGTACTTAATTCGATTTGTTCTCTCACAAGAGATCTAATTGAACTATCATAGATTATTTGTGTTTAAGGTGTAGATTATAAATATTTTGGCATTAAACAAAATGTACGAAAAACTTATGTTATATTAATTAAGAGTGACGTATTTCCTTGTAAGTAGAATTTACTATAATCAATATAATAATATATTGTATCACTTAATATTATCAATATCCTTCTAGAATTAAACATATATTTCAAGAATTTCAAAATAAAGTGGATAAACAACTTACTTTGAGATATCAAAGCCTTCTTTAACCGCTGCATCTCTGCAGGAAGAAACAATTGTGTCTTTATCTTCATCATTAAAGACATCCGGCATGAAACCTATCAACATGCTGTTTATCAATTCGAGGAAGCTTTCGTCCTTAATGTGGGCAGCCGTGAACATAAACACAATCTTTTTATTTTCCAGGCCGACCATGTTATACAAATTCTTTATGTCTTCGCGGAAGAACGTTTGATTGTATCCGCGACGCAGAATGATTTGAAAGATTTGATAACCGGCAGCGAAGGATGCTAACTTGATCACGGATTTCTTGCCGCTGCCACTCATACCGATGATCAGTACGTGACCGCAGTGCATTCGAAGTGCACGATGCACTCTGGTCAGATGCTCGAGCGCGTCATTGAAGAGAACCATGTGCAGCTTAGTTCTGTCCCTCTCGTTGTATTCTTCGAAAATCTGTAGGTAGCACAAAGATATTTTTTAAAGATATTGAACGTTAATTTAATTCTTTGGAGTTGAAATCTATCACACAATTACGAATGCTGGATCTGTGACATTTATGTTGACTAAAAGACACTAATTAATTTCAAGGAATTAAAATGACATAACTTATATAAAAAAGAATGTATAAATATTAATAAGTTTTATTTTAATAACATGATTTAAATTTGCAGTTGTAAATAAAAGATATAATTAAGTGGAATTAGTAGAACCCATTCAGTTCCAGGTTAAACAACGATGTTGCTTGTAAATAAATAAAATAAATAATATTTATAGATAGGAATGTTAATATAGCAGAAAATAATTAAAAATTATATATTTAAAGAAAAAATTTGACCTCTTGAAACAAGCTGTAAACTGCTTCATAATCCAACAGATCCTCATAAAATCTAGGCTCAACAGTATCGGGTCTCTTAAACTGTATTCAATCACTTCAGGTTCTAGCTCCCAATAATTTTGTATTTTTTCATTCAATTGCTCGATTACGAAATTTTTATCCTGAAATAGCAAAATTATTTTAAAACGAATCTTTAATTCTTCTTTAATTTTTAATGTATATTAGATTCCCTAGATTCCCCATACCTTATAAAGTCGTGCTACATGTATAAATGTTTTTTATATACATTATTGTATTTAGCGTAAATTGTTTGACAATTAAAAAGTTTTTTCATTTATCTTTATTTAAAAAAAATGTATAAAATATTATCAATTTAAATTCATTTAATTGTGGATCACAAAAAATAATGAAAATCGAAATGTAATGTTGAGAAATACTCTAATGTCAGAAATATTCTACGCAAATAATTACGTTGAAAAATGCAACTATAATGTAAGATTAATGTACAAGAAAAAAAGGAGAAGCCTTATTACTTGCACGCTAATAAGACGATCGCATATAACTCTGGTGAACTCGTTTCTCCAGAGCCTAACAAACTGTTTGGTTACGAAAAAGAAATTAGGATGGGTCTGAAGTAATCCAGCCATGATTCTTGAGAGATCCCGCATATTGAAAATATAGTGAAACTTGGATGGAGTTGGCAGTAGTTCCTTCCTAACTATCTAAATAACATTATGTTGTTAATATACGTATCTCACTTAGAGATATAATGCTATACGCAACGTGATTCAAAATTACCTCGTAAAGTTCCAATGTCAATTGTACAAGTTTGTCCGTGATAGATTGAATTGCCTCCGAAAATATCTGCAGATGTCCGGATAAAATACTCGTGTAAATATAATTCAGAGTTTCATTCGTTGGACAAGTTACGTTGTAAACTGAGAACATTGAGATAAATCGCGGATCAACTTCGTTCCTACCACCACCGGGTTTTCCCATAGCTGCTAAATAATCTACAAACAGTAAAAAACATTTTGTACTGCGATCAATTAATTAATATAAAAATAATGTGTTTAAAAATATAAATTCTAAGATAAATGAATAAAATATATTAATTTTACATATTATAAACAATTAATTTTACTGAAGAAATATGCTTACACAATTTATTTACAAACTGTGTCAATGTTACATCTTCTATGTTAATTTTTTACATAATGTTTGTGTTACTTCCTAACATTCATTTCATGTTAAATCAACATAAAGATTTATGTAATTTGTATGAAATGAGTTAAATTTAACACAAATTTTTTTTAACTGTTACAGAAAATACATTCATGGCATAAGTCTTCAATTAATTAAACATACATCTTATAAACTTATATTATATTAAATCCTCAATAAATGATGAAAAATTGATAAAATTGTTGCTAGGAAAATTGACTTCGTGTTTTTAAAAAAGCTTTTTTAGTATATTTGTTACTTCCTGAACATATACTTACAAATATCTTTCATATATTTCCAATTCAAATCACGCCCACGATCATAAAAGCCACCCTTTTCAAACAATAGTTTAAGAAACGCGATGGGCTGTTGGGTTCCACTAATATCCATGATTGGCATATTCATGTCGTCGATGAAAATTATTAATTTCTTTCCAGGCGGGGCTCCGAATACCTCTCTCGATCTTTTCTCCACTACCGATTCAATATTCGTTTGCACGTCCATTGAAGTGGTTCTTGAGGAAAAGTTTATTAAGAGCTGTTCCTATTTGTCATAAATTGTTGATAAACATAAATTTTTTGTATCTTATTACATCGTTTTTCTTCCATACATGTATTACATCATATATTTTATTGAAAATTATTTGAATAAAACACAGTGTTTCAGAAGGATAGATCAATATTTTGATGACATTGATTATCTTAATTAAAAAAGTTCATATAAATATGTATTCTATTCCGAACGGTTTCCGGGATTTCCAAGCAAAAATTCATATAAACTTTATATGAACAGTTTTATTTAAAATGACAGATCATCATAATATTGACGTTTTCTCTTGAGTGAAAGATATAGAAAACCCTGTATAGAAAATAATTCTAATTAAGTTGATTTCTTCAATGTTGTTTTATTTACTTACGTATTTTTCAGGATTCAAGTTCCTTAAAAATTCATGAATTATCGCCGTTTTCGAGGTACCAGTTTCTCCGACCAACAATACCGGTCTTTGTAGATTGTTCATGAGATTTACGAACCATGTAGTACGCAGAGTATCAATTGTTTGCACTAAAATGTCCGAAAAGTTCTTCTGTCTGTCATGAACATATATTGGTACCAACCACTTCCATGCCTTCCAAACCTTTTCCTTGATATCAAGTACGTAGTCGTAGATAGTTGGAAAATATATGGGTATACATTCTGAGCAAACATGCACATTCATTTTTTAGTTAACGAGCAAAAGAAAAGATACATTAATCAGATCTTATTAAATTTATTTAATTTCCATATTGATTAATTTACTTATTTCTATTGAGCTTACTGGCGGTCGCTGGTTTATCGGGTGTGTCTTGCACTAACATAAATCCACATATTTTCTTTATGTACTCATCAAAATTGGAGCGCGCCTCGTCTACAATAGATGCGCCGAATGACCAATAGCACGCTTGAATGTACATTGCCTCCCAGAGCTCCTCTTTCGTTATCAACTCTTCATTGATTTTTGATTTTTGTTTTGCCAATTCATATTTTATTGACAGTAAACCATCAAATACGAAGCAAAATTGAGTTACCTTCGGAAACCATGCAAAAAATGTTATTAATATTAGGTGTTGGAATTAATTCGTAGCGTTTTACAAGTGATGGGAAGTACTTTCATTAATGTATTTTTTAATGCTCATGTGAAATAAATAACATTCTTTCATTAAAAAACGCTACGAATTAATTCCAACACCTAATAAAATATGAATATACACAGTAAAAAAATATTTTGTATTAGAGATTCTCTGTCTTTCTAGTTAAAAAATTTATGAGTAAATAAACAAATGAAAAATCATATTTTTTTTAATATAAATTTTAAGATAAATGAGTATAAAATGTGTTAATTTAATATTATAAATTTTAATTTTAAAGAAATATGATTACAAATTGTATCAATGTTTAATTAAATAAAATAAATCCTATTTGATATAAAGTGGATCTTAATGCTTAAATAATTTTGTGTAAATTTATATACATATCCAATTCTGCAAACCACATTTCGAAATCTTTTTTCAATCTTGGAAAGTAAATGATGAACAGTGTAATGATGAACAGAATAAGAATAATAATATCATAATTGACAAACAATTTAATAATATTGATTTAATAATATTGATTTGCTAATAAGCATTTTTAATAAACATCTTTTATTTACTTAAGCATTGAGATCCAAGCATAAGAGATATCGAGCATAAGATTCCTTTTATTTTATTAGATTTATTCTCTTCAGTCTAATTTCGTATTATAATTGTGTTTCAGTACTTAATTTTTACATCAGTGATGCGCAACTTTTTAATTACTACAGTCATAATTGTTCACAAATCAATAGTCAATCTAGTAGTTACCATATTGAGTCCAGTTTGTGGTATAATCGTCCGAAGAGGTTCGACTGTTTGAAAGCCTAACATTCCTTCGGTAATAAGCTTAAGTGAGCCATGCACGTATTTCTCGCACATTCCTCGAAGAAAATCTTGATCGACTTTGCTTTTAGTTTGTATCCACTTGTCCATGTACGGCTGGTAGCCTAGACTTTTTGGGTCTACATAGACCATACCCGCTCTTGAAACCGTTGCAGGTGAGGCGTACTGCAAGTCGCCTACCTTTAGCACAAGGATCAATTAATTTTTTAATAAAGTATCTTTAGAATTATTAAAAATGTCTACATTTTTCTATAATTTAGTTCATTATAACGTTATTATCCTTAATTCTTTTTTCATTGTAATTTGTTTCAAAAACTATTATTAATTCATTATTAAATAGTTATATCATATTTATGGTATCATATTTATGTATAATTTTTATACAAAGAGCAACAATAAAATTACGACAATAAAGTTACAAACAACGCCTCCTATTGTCTGTTATGCTCATATTTGTTTGAATGCCATCTTATTCAAATATCAAATTAATTTTTCTAAATTGTCCCTCACACAATTCAATAGTCGATATTATATCCACATTAAGTTACCTCAAAGAGCAGACTGCAATAATTCTGCAATTTAATCCTCTCTTGATTGGCCAGAGTTAATAGCTTGTTATCATCCATTACCGAGTTCATGTTTTCGATCCACAACGCATCAACATCTCCATCGAAAAGTATATATCTTCGTTCATCTTTGCTGGAATCTAGCGGTCGATTAATTTCTCGAAAGATATTACTCAAAAGACCATCCGTCCAATCTCGTGTTGCAGGTTCTAGCTTTCCGTACAGCTCGATGATGGTGCAAGCCTTTAAAAATTATGATGACATAAAGAATTTTACAATAAAATTTAACAATGCTACTGTTATAATTAATTATTCACACCTTAGGATTCAAAATGTGCAATTTTGTGGGTTTACCAAGGTTCGTCTGTGCTCTGCAGAGCGTTTCGACGACCACTGTCTTACCACTGCTAGTGGGACCGATAATCATTGTAGAATGCCTAGTCATCATTATTTCATATAACTGAATGACTTTATCAACCTAGGCCGAATTATTATGTTTTTTATTATTTTTGTTAATTTGAAGTCTACGATTATAATAGCTAAATATATATATAAATATATATACGGAAGGAATGTTGCTAAAGTATGAAAAAATTTAGCTAGACAGATTAAAAAAAATAGTGTTATTGACTATTCAAATGATTACATAAGACACTAGCCTAATAACCGATATTGCAAAAAATTTTAACATTCTAGTTTGATTATTTTATGTAATTACTTTCTAACAAAATTATGGTCTAACAAAATTATTTTCTATATCTAACTATAAATTTATATATCTTATAAATATGTTTCTAACTAAATTTTTCTTAACAAATTAAGTTTAGTATTAAATACTTTAGCAAAACTTTCTTCCATGCAAGTGTGTTAGAAATCTAGAAAATACTATTTACTTGCTCAGGTAAAACAATATAGCCATGTTCTTTTAATACTGCCTCAACTGCTTCATTAAAATCTGGATAGCGCATTCTGGGACAATCCAAGTCAGGAAAGAGATCTCTGATCAGACCCATCATCAGCACAATGTTTTCGGGTAAATCATTAGAAGTTCTTTTCAACTGGCCGGCCATATTAAGCACAGATATAAGGGACCTCAAGCCAAAATCATAGTGTGTTTGTTTGCTCAGCTGTTCGCTCGCCAGCTTATAGAGAACGGTCATCTTCTTTGCGAGCAACTTTGCCGTCAAAAAACCGGCGCTAAAAAGCTTAATCTGACAGATTAACTCGTTATCCGGCACTACGCAGACTACTGGTCTAAAGAGGGCTTTAACAGATTCTGGTAACTCCGTGCGACCGGCGTATCCTGGATTCATGGTGATGAAGATTCCTACCTTCGAGTCCAATACGATATCTTGATCCTCGAACTTTTGGAGAATATTTTGGTTATTATAGAATATAATACATATACATGTAATAAACAGGAATTTATTTTTCTGATCCTATATTTAATAACAATTTATTTATATTTATCATATATAAAATAATGGAGAAATTAATATAATCATATTTGATAAATATATATTTATTTAAAAAATTGAAAATGATATAGATTTAAATTAAAAATAGAACTTTACTATAGAAAAATAAAAATAGAATATCAGACACGAACATATATTAATATTATAAAATATTCTTCTTTACATACATTAAAATTATTCTATTAATTTATAAAAAAATTTTAATATAATTGTAGCTATAAATAATTCGTATTATTCCCGGCATTTCGTGCTTTTCAGTTTAATGAAATATATACCGTGAATCTTTCAGCTTTAATTTGCAGTGCCGAGCGTATAGTTTGAAGCTGAGTCGAAATAACAGAGAGAACAGAACTGTCGATACGATTAAATTCGTCGAAACAACCCCATGCTCCACATTGAGCGAGACCACTCAGAGTCTTTCCAATCGTGATATAGTCCATTCCTTCGCTGCAATTAGTTACGATACATAAGAGTCCTAGAGCTTTCGCTAAATCTTTGACTGTCTCAGTTTTTCCGGTTCCAGCAGGACCTTAGTGTTAAAAATTAAAAAAACGCAGTTTTATAAACTATTATTTAAATCATTAAAAAATTAAAACGAGTAGATTAAAAGTATTTGCCCTGATATTTTCGAATTCCACGTAATTTTCACTTTTTCCAATATATCTTTGTATTTACAATATAATTACAATACAATTTCTACAGTATAATTTGTTTTATTGTGGCTAGATACTTAAGATCGATCAGAAGCTGTTATTTTGAGACATTTGCAATTCTGTCATGTGTATATGCATTACATACCCGCCGGTGCACCGCCTAAGTACATTGAGAGAGCTTGCGTAATAGTGAGATATATTCGGTCCGTCAGTGGCGTAATGACCAATCTACCATTAAGACCCATGTACTCGTAACCGTATTCGAAAGTGCCTGTGCATTGGTTCATCCATACATTGTCCAGATCATGAACCCAATAAAATCTATATACGAAAATACTTCGCCGTAGATTACAATAATTGTAAAAGTAATAGTACTTTTATATAAAACATATTTAATAATTTTGAATATTGTTATGATTGTATCAAAATTATATTGTTTAATATGAAAAAATTAAAAAATTGTATCATTAAAAGACTTGTATTGTTTAAATTGTATTGTTGAAAGCTCGTATTGTTAAAAGACTTGTACTGTTAAAATTTGGTAAAGGCTACATATTTTTACATAATAAAAAAGTTACCTTAATTGGCTTTCCCATTCGAATTCTGTAGGATCCGTAATACTGTCTCTAACAAAATTCTCGACAATGTCACGAGTATGCACATTGATGGTCAAAACCATATCAATCTTCTTTCTGTCATTATTTGTAAGCGAACTGGTACCCATCAATGTCACCATTTCGTCCAGTTGAGTATTGAGTTGTTGTAAATACTATATACATAAAAAAAGAAATACTACATACATAAAAAAAGAAATATTTTTTTATATTCAATAACAAATGACAAAACATGACACAAATTGTGTTCACAATTTGCGAGCATTACTTCTTTCATAGCGCGTTTATTTCCCTGGGATATCTTATCGAAAACATTTTCGACTTCTGCGGTCCACCATATCTGATTGGCTACGAGAATCATCATTCCTTGAAATTCGAGTATCCACTGAGTTATTGGTCTTCGCACCTACGTTTATAAAATAGTGAAAGTTTTTATAATATATACAATTTCTAAATAAAAGAATATTTTAATTTGTCAATTAGTTATTTCTTCTCTAAAAGTGATATATTAAAGATTAACAGAGAAAGTATAAGATATTTTAGAAAAATGTTTTTTGAAGAACAAATGAACGGAAGTAACGTAAGTAAGTGCAATAATTCAATATAAACCTTGCCGTAATTGTAGACCGCTTTCTTTGTTAGATATCGATTTGATCTTTTCATTTCTTCAAGAGCCAGCCCCATCCAGATTTCGATCTGTTCTTCCACGGACACGGGATTTCTGAAATCCATAACTTCTCTTTCGCAAGATACAAGAGCTGTAGCCTTCTGTTTATCTGTGTCTGATGTTATTATGAATTTATCGAGATTATCAAACATCTTTCCTACGTGTTCCTGAATTGCCGTAGGAATACCACTGCCGAGAATGCTCAGCAGTTCATCGTCGCTAATGAAATTGAATCTTGGGAATATAATGCGTTTGTTGCACAAATATTCCGTTAAAGACTTTTGGCACTTCTCGAGGGTTGTTATCATAGTTTCAAAGTCACCCTTTCGACCTAATATTTAACAAATAAGTAAATAATTATTTTTTTTAATTTTTTAAAATTTATTTTATATTTTATGTATATTTCTTAAATTCTTTATATGTATATTTCTTATATATTTTTAAAATTTTCTTGGCGAAAATTTTTCCTAAAATTCTTCATATATTTCTTCAAAATTTTTATATAGTCTTATAATTAACAAAAATTTTTTTAGCTTTTTATATAAATTGGAATAATCTTTTCAGAAATGTAAAAAAATCTAGATCTTTTCTAGAAGTTTTTATACATATTTGTGAATTCTGAAATAAAAATTTCTCATTTTCCAATTTCTAGAATAAAGTCTGAAAGTGTATATGGTATTTTTCAGAAATCTTCATATTATTTAAAATACGAAAATTCTTAAAAATATATTATACTAATGTTTTTCAACTAGATTAACTTTAATAATGAGATAAACTAATTCTCTTTCAAATACCATGAATCAAGCAACATTCCAAAACATTGAGCTTCTTCGACGTGTCAGTCATGATTTTTCGGTAAATTTGATCGATATCATCGAATCTTTTTGTTTCGTCCGGCAACTGAAAGCGAATGTCACCACCCACGAAAATACCCTCGAGATACAGCCACTTTCGCTGAAAATCCACCCACACTTCCAGAACTTCGGAGATCGTATGCATTGTGTGTTCCCATTTTTGTACGGCATTGAGAAACGGCCCGATGAATTGCGAGGCTGCCATGCTGTGTACGCTCAACATGTTATCTTCGAGTACCAGATTCAATTCGTCAAGTGGTCCAAGAATAAAGCCACGTTCTTCTACACCTGGAAAATGCAACAATCGTAGGATTATATATCTCATTATAATTAGTTTAATGATAATTATTTTTAGATCTGTAATTAAATTTAGATACTTCAGCAAAATCGTTCTTTCCATAAACTAATATAAATTTAAGTCTTATATACTCGCATACTTGTTTATTCAATAATAATAATAAGTGCATGTTTTTCTAAATACCTTTATAATGTTTCATCATATTAAATTCCATGGATTTCCATATGTCTGCTAATTCTTTTATGCCTCTTTCTATCGCAAGTTCTTTCACGGCATACATTACAACATCTTGTGCAATATCTTGATACTTTCCCAGTTCCATAGCGAACATATTCTCTAAAGTAAATCTGGAACGATCGAATATTCAGGTTATCATATTTATGTACTTAAAGCGAATGTTGTGTGGCTTGAAGCTTACCCCTCTATGGTAAAAGATTTTTCTTGTGCCATGTTTATAAATATATTCACTTAAAAAATGTCTATGTAACTAATTATACTTTTACGAAGTAAGTATCAAATTATATGCACTTGATTGAGTTTATATTGGTCATTAACAAAAAATTATGTCTCTTGCGATGATCTGTAAACAGACTCGTGTAAAAAAAAAATAGAAAATGCAAGATACTTGATACTTTAACTGAAAAATTATATACAGATTCGATGTAATTATTATTCTAAAACATAAATTTACATCTCGCAACGTCAACGTTTGTACGCAAGTATTAAAAAATACAAATATTTTCACATGTATATATATTCTATATTTGCACATCGAAAGGATGATTTTGTCGAATTATTAAAAAATTTAGTCAGATATAGATCTGAAGATAATTTTATTGAACTATTAAATTATGTAAGACGTTTAAATTGGTTATTAGAATATCAAAACTTTTTGCAATACTACTCATCATGCTTGAGATTCCTATGTATTTATTTTGATGTCCAATAATATTACTTTCAGATTTGCATTTAGCTAAATTTTTAGATACTTCAGCAAAATCGTTTTTTTTTTGTGAAAATATTGCACGTTAATACAATTACACTATGCAAATAAAAATAATAAAAATAATAAAATCAATATTCAATACAAATAGATATAATAAAAGATAGATACAAAAATGCAGTTATCATAAATACATAAGTCTAATAGTTATCCTTTTATATGCTCTTATACACATATTATTCTTTTCGCAACTAAAATCGCGGTCTATCAAGTTATCTGTTTATTCGTACGTCTAATTAACACTCGCTAATTATTCGTCATCCGCACACCTGTCCGGATCCATATCGAAATACTGTCCGGTCCTTTTCATCAACTCTTGCCAATGTCTTTCGCGCATAGCTTCGTTTTTCAACTCGATGAAAAGCGGCACTGAGTCCTTGAAGGTCTTCATGTTGGTCTTCAATGCATAGCCAACATTCGTATTTTTGATGGCTTTCGGCAGCAGTCGAAATTCCCTTATAAAGTATTCCATACCCTCGATGAGCTGCTGCGGATTCAAGTTCACCCATAGAGTTTTCGCCCAAACTTCTCGCGAGCTTTTCTGTTCCTTGTAGAGATTATACAATAATTCCATGCCCTCGTATTCCGTTTTGATCTTGAGGAGAGTTGAATAATCGGCAGACGGTAAGTTAAACAAGTTTTCTAACTGTATCAGATTCAGCCGCTTTTCCTCATATTTATTAACCAGCTTGCCATATTCCTATATAATAGAAGAAGAATAAAGAAATCTTTTAACTTGTTACTTAATTTTGTTCTTATCACGCGATATTATTCAAAAAATTTAGAAAAGTCAATCAAAACTCGAAACGTATTTAGAAAAATGTTTTTAAGAAGATATTAGGTGTTGGAATTAATTCGTAGCGTTTTACAATGAAAGAATGTTATTTATTTCACATGAGCATTAAAAAATACATTAATGAAAGTACTTCCCATCACTTGTAAAACGCTACGAATTAATTCCAACACCTAATATAATTGTATTATTTATAAATAATTTTAAGTTTTTATAAATATCTTTAATTTTTTAGAAGAATGTTTTTAAAAAAATATAATCGTGTTTATAATTATCTCTTTTAAATTTTACGTACACTCATTTTTTTCAGTCCTAATTCCAGGTCGTCCCCGATACTCCCAGGACCAAATGTCTCAAAATTTTCAGCGAACATCACGGTGTCAACCAAGAATTGATAGATTTCTTCTTGAGTAAGCTCGGAAAATTTATCGCTAGTGCTTTCTAAAGTCGAAGCTCTGTAGAGCGCTGTGAGATACAACGATTCCCAGTCTCGTTGCAATTCATACGCCATTGCTTCGTCCGATGAGGGAAAAACAATCCCATAGGTGCGCATAGATTGAAAGCACTCTTGATAGCAGAGAAATTGCACTTCGGCTAGTATCGCCGATTTTTTCACATCGGTGATCGCATGCATGATTGACACAAAACGGTCCAGTCCCGTGACCACCAGTTCGATCTCGTCGCGAAAGGCATCGATTTGAGTTTTAAGTTGGTCCATAGCCAATACGGTATCAGACAGAAGATAATTCCCTAAAACCTGTTTCCATTCCTTCGCTTGACACTCGATGCCTGATAAAAGTGGTTTCAGGTTGAGCCTTTGGAAAGAAAGAAGAGTAAATCGGAGTACAATAGAATTAAAAAATAAAAAGTTAATCGATATAATGAACTTTTATTATTATTCTTCTTGTTAACAACATTACAGTTTATATTTACCGTATACTGTTTATGTCAAAATACGATGATATGTCTTCGAGTTCCTCCAGAATGCTTTCATAAAACGAGAACTTTTCGAAGTATTGTAAAAGCGTAGGTTTCGTCGATGCAAATTTTTCACAAGCCAGATTTTTGTCAAATGACCATAAGCTGCTGTATTTCTTCCATTTATATAGATATCGCCAGCATTCAGTCGAGATTCTATACGCTGTGTCGTGAATCACTTTTACAAGTTCGTTAACTATCTGCAGTAATTTTAAATCTTAAATCACGTTGCGTAATGCTAATAAATTTTTTTAATATGTTATTAAATTATCGTAAAATTTAACATAATAATCGGTGAACTCTTTAATGAAAAAAATTCTCATAAAATCTTATAATATTTTTAAGAATTTATCATACATTACTCAATAAAAAATATGAAACACTTTTAAAACACTCAAAATTGTGCAATTTTTAGAAATTTCGTAGAAACTCTCGGTAAAAAATCATCACAGACAAAAAAAATAAAAAATATATTTTAAAGCCTAAAACTTGTTACATGTTTTAGCTGTTTTTAAAAGATTTTTATTTTTACAGTTTTGTATCTTTATAAAGATCACATTGTTTTTTAAAATTACATATTTACATACATTCAATAGTCTGTTTTGATAAAAATTTTCTTAAAAATTTTAATATTTTTTTTGTACAAAAAAGAACAGTTTTATTTACAAAATTTTTTTAAAATTTTCTTACAATTTTTCTTGAATTACGCGATTTTGAAGCTAAACCTGCATTTCTTATAATCAATAAAAATTCTGAAAAATTATATGAACAATTCTAAGAAAAATTTTTATCAGGGCTACTCAACTCGAATGCTCATCACGTCTTCGAAGAAGCTGAAAGTGACTAAATCCTGCGAGTGCTCCTTTCTTTGCGGTTTGCACTGTAAGCAAGATCCATTCATCCATCTGGAGAATCCTTTCAGCCTTTCGAGTAAATCTCGTACATCGCTGCAAATGGTACTAAAGATTTCGTTGGGCGATGGACGTAATACTACTTCGGATGTTATTAATAATACGTCTACTTGGAAGATTGGCTTAGTGTTGTTCAACATTTTGTTCAGAACTTCCATATTTCTGACCATGCATCTAGAAAGTGGATCAAACGACGATTTTGTAATATAAAAAATTTATTTTAATGTAATTATCATTTTTACTGTCAAAAGAGATATATACATTATAAAGGCAGCAAAGATTTTCTTTTCATATTTTTTGTACAAGAGCTGCATAGCTGGACTTGTCCCAGTAGAAGTACCCAATACTAAACTTTCTAGTTTCACAAGCATCGGACTAATCGACTGATAAGTCTTTAACATCGACGATACCAGTTCAGATCGTCGATTTTTTATCTCCATAAAATAACTCTATAAAGAGAAAATTAGATATATTGTATTTAACAATAAGACAATTCCATTTTGTTAAATAATGGTTACAATAAAAGAATGTTTACAATAAAATATTCATTATTCATAAAAATTAACATTTTTCTATATATCTTATAAACTGAATTCACATTTTTAGATACGTTATTTTAATGTTAATTGTTTACTTACTCATAAAAAATTATATTATTTAATACTAATTGTAAAAAATGTCGAATATCACCCATACAGCATAAAAGTTTGCAGCAACAATGTTGGAACGTTGCTGCAATATTACTGGAATGAACTGAGCGTGTGGGTAATTTAATAAAATCCGTAAATATTTCAAAAATATTATCGTAAAATGTTTAAATAACAAAATAATATTATGTTAAATTAACATAAATACAAAATATCTGTGTAATTCTCAATTATATTATGAAAAAATATTTAAATAATACCTTGCATGGCAAAAGATCCTCTGATTCAGCGACTTCCTTCTTCGTGGAAAACAGATGGTACGATTTCAATTCAGATTTTATTCGAATATCAAGCTCTTTCTTTATCTGATTGACTTGCTCGACAATAGAGTTTAAGCTCTTCAGTGTTCTGTGACAGGCGGCCGCATAATTCGAGATAGTCAGGGAGTTCCAATTGAACCGCGTCACTCCAGGCTGAATCTTCTTTTCAACATCCTGTAGAATCTGCTTTAGCAATTGTATGTCTTCTCTGTCCAGCATATCTAGGATGTTATTGTACTGATCAATCATTTTCGAGGTGACGTCGATATCCGTTCGTAGTCGATTCTTCTGAATACCAACGTCTCTGATAGTCGCAGGCAATTCGAAACCCAACTGCTCCATTAGTTCTGCCTCTCTGATGATCTCGAATATCTCCCAGTCAAAATTGATCTGAAAGCGTAGCTGACACTCTATCAAAATGGCGTCACTTATAAATTCTGGCCAAGTGATCTTTGTGCGAACGAAGTCGTGTTTATCGAAGGACACGGATGAAATTTTACAGGATCCTCTGACATCGACCTTCACTTCCGGAAGTGCTTGCTCCATTTTAGAGCCCGTGACACTTGTGATTTCTACGCTGGCCCTCGATATCACACCATCTGTTTTCAGTAGGGATTCATATGGAGATGGAATAGAACTCACATTCTTAACCTTCATTTTCGACGCTATATGAATCAGATTTTTCGTGGCTCGCTCTTCGTCCAGCAAGTTTAAAGTGACTGGATGATCTCGTTCAATTCGTACTATCCTCAGCACGCTCTTTTTCAAGGTAGTAGTCACTATCAGCAGTGCCTTATCTAGCCACGCGTTAAATGTCACTCCTTCGAAATTCTTCAACTGCTGCGCAATATCGAAATACTGGCTGAACGCAATCAGTTTCAGCTCACTGTGCTTCAGTTCGTGCACTTTCTGGAAAATCAAAACTGGCCTTCGTAATCTGTGGAACAACTGCTTCACCCAAAAGATCGCTCCCGCCATCGGCGGATGATACGTCAATAACGGTGGATGCCATTTGCCATGATGATATATGGTCTCTACGACGTTAATCTCTTTACTAAACTGACGCATTATAATATTAAACTTCCGGAGCAACTGCTGTTGAATAACGGCACGGGTCTTCATATTCTTGAACTTGAGCAACATCTCCAGTGAATTCTCGGCGTTGATCAACACCAAGAAACATTCGTCGATATAGAATTTGGCCTGATCTTCCAAAAATGTCACTTGCTCGTAAAACCACTCGGTCAACGCTTCCCAATTCTCCTTGTTGAATACATCGAAGATGTCAAAATCAGCTTCTTCGATTGGCACTATTAGTGCATCCACTCGTTTCACCACAGTGTCAATCTGCGCCGGATCATTTATGATAGACTTCAAATCGGACCCGAAGATATTATAGAAGTCTTGCAGGACACTGGCGATCTTGTGAAGGTCGCTGCATACCTCAGCGATGTACTCAGACTCCTGGAAGAGACGCTTCTGATCAAATTCCCAGCGAACTCCCTTTCCCGACAGTTCGATGTCCAATCTGGTCTTCAAGTATGATCGCTTCCATTGTTTCAGCATCATGCTGGCCACACTCGTCTTTTCCAGAATCTCTTCCAGAGGCTTTTTAAATAGTCGAATGATCGCTAAATTCTGTTTGACATTTTCGCAGAGCTGCCACGATATCCGGTCCATTAATAACACAATTTTTTCTTCATGGCAATAATAACTTGACAATATCCATAGCATTCGCAATCCTTCCATTAACGAGGGGATGCACTCCAATATAGATTTAAACGAATCCGATTCGGTAATCAACTGCGATGTTAATAAATAATAGAACAATAAATAATATAGAAAAATATAGAATTTATTATTATTTATATTAAAATATTTGCATAAATTCTATATTTTTTAATTAGTTTAGAATTGACCTTACTTCAGCAAAAACAGATTTAGCGCACTTTACAACTGTTTTATCTTTAATATTTAGAAAATTCATTTAGGGAATTCAAAAATTTTATCGGTAAATCTTTGAATTTTCAAATAGCATAAAACATTCTATAAAAATTCTATGAAAATATAAATATTCTCAATTTTGAAATATTCTATAAATATACTGAATATTCTATTAGGTGTTGGAATTAATTCGTAGCGTTTTTAATGAAAGAATGTTATTTATTTCACATGAGCATTAAAAAATACATTAATGAAAGTACTTCCCATCACTTGTAAAACGCTACGAATTAATTCCAACACCTAATATTTAAAAATTTGTATTTATAATAAAAAGAACATTCATAAAATGTTCCTCAAAATTTTGTGAAGTTAGATAAAGATTGCGCAATATACATATGCAATATACTAAATCCTCTCTAATAATACAAGACGTGCTCAGAATGATTCTGAATACATCTAGAATATGTTTTGAATACCTTTACCTTAAAATATCTTAACAGCGTTTGAATAAATTTATTTGTGTCCCTAGCTTTAACATAATGCTTCCAGAGTTCAGACTGAAAGTGGTGAAAGCTGGAGGCGACCGGCGAGACTGCTTGTTCCAGAAGAGCAAGAATCCTCTTAACGATGGGCATTTTTAACTGTTCAACCAACATTGTTAATCCAGTTTCGTAGATCTGCCAATATTGATGCACCGCTATTGGTCCCTTTTCCGGAAGTATCTTGTTCTCGTATGACTCCATTATCTAAACGATAATAAAATAAAATGTTTTAATACGTGCTATTAGTAAGATTTAACTTTTATTATTTACAGACAAATTATTTTAATTATCACGACACATGGATATACCAATGTAATCCAAAACGGTAGATAAATTAAGACAAAAAGTATACAAAAGAAAAATATGAAAGAGATACTAAATTATTTGCCTTCTGGATATGTTTCTGCCATGACATAACTACTTCTTCCATCTGTTCAATAATATCCTTATTCTTTACTAACATATCATCTGTTATCGCAGGATCGTTTAGCTCTGAAATCTGCGGCATCGTTAGCAAGATATCGCCTTCGATATGTTCCAACGTCCTATATTACCAAAATAAAAATCACGAAGCTATCAATATAAAAGGAGAAAACCTAGTAATAAAAAACATCTATCAATTTTTGATATAAAATAGAGCTAACCATTCCGTTTTCTCAATTAAATTATCAAGATAATCTAAAATGTTTCTTTTGAACTGTTCGACTGCCTCTTTCTTTATTTCCTTCGAATGACCTGATTTGCTAGACTCTAAAATGGACTGTTCGGATTTTCCATCGAGTTCTTTCAAACTTGACTTTAGGTTCCCACTCTTTAAAACCTGGTCCTGCAAGGTCGTAGAAGTTGTGGTTTCTTCGTCATCTGCTTTTCTGTTTGCGTCTAAATTTTGGACTATATTTGACGCTGTCACGAAAGGGGCTGGTCTTCTCAACATTGATTTCTTTAATCAAGGACAAAAATCTTGAAATTTACCATTTACCATTAATAGTATTTTAATTTTCATTATTGATCTGAATTAATATGTGTGATATGCAAGAGAGAAAAAAAAGCAACTCTATTTATGTAGAAGAAATTTAAAATATTATAGAAGATATTGTGCTGAATTATAGTTAAGGATTTTTCATTATTTTAAAATAAATAATATTTTATGTAAGATAATTGAATATCCCTTTATGATCTACCTAAGTTAAGTGATTTTTTTCTAATTTTTTTGCTGAGTCCAAAATCGAAAATTGATGATCAGATTTAAAAGAGAAAACATTTCTATAATAAATATTTAAAAAAATATAAGACGTTTTTAATATTTATATAGATATAGTTAAAATGTTAAGAAAAAATAATCAAATTTCTTTATTTGATATTGTCTATATAAACAGTTGTCTATGTAAACAGTTAATAACATAGTATTGATTTTCTAGCTGACTCTTAAACTTTGATTATAAACTTTAGATCCTCCTTCATAGAGATTACTATTCTAATATTCAAATTCGATATTTTCAGGTTACATATTTAAACTTAGAGATATCAAGAATTTCTAAAACCGAGTATCACGATAATTAGATCACTTTTTCAAATTTGAATTTAAGAATTCTAAGATCAGAATCGAATTCAATGACCCCAAAAACCTTTAAAAAACGTGATCTTCCAATAGGAAGATCCGGTCCTCAAGGGTTAAAATTCTTGCTGGCATAAATATTATTTTCTTGACACTTACCGCTTCTTCATCTATGTTCTCCCGTTTTTCATCGTCTACGTATTTCGTTTGCTCGTGAATATCCAGCGCTCCGAATTGATTTTTCACCAATGGTTTAAATACCTAGCGTTTTTTAAATATATTATTTATTTACTTTGACCTTAAATATTTTAATATATTGCAATATATTTTTCCTAAAATTATGACATTGAAATCAACAAATTTTCTTAATATTATGTAAGTACTAAAGCATCTTCTTCTTTTCATATCATGTACTTTTATCTCTCCATATAATGAAATATTAAAATGGAATAAAATGCCTTTTCCATGTACTGTGACATGACGTTTTTCGTTAACACGCAGCTGCGATAGCACACGGCCAGAATTTTGTATTCATTATGTTTTTCTAATGTACAACTGAGATGGCAAATACATGTTTGCTATTATTCTTATTATTAATTCGTGTGTGATTCTTACAATCTTCTCTCTTTCGTCTTTTGACTTTTCCCCGCTCTGAATCATTCCCTCTGCCAATTTCGTGGCTGAGCAGATGGATTTCGTCCGTTTCACAATAGAGAATAATTGCTGAAATTAAGTAAAGTACGGAAGAGTGGCACGCTCATTCGTGCCTGGCACTTAATTAGAATTCCAAAGAATGTTGCGATAAGTTGAGATAAATGACAACTGATAATTTGAGAATCGAGGTAATATTGCGAGCTGCCGAATAAAAGTTAAATGAAGTTGTGCCGTCACTCGTGAGTACAATCACAGTACATGGAAGCTATTTTTAAATTGCTATATCTTGAAAATGAAACACTATACCAAAATAAAATAAAAATGCTTACATTGACTAATATTCTATTCAAAGAGGACAAGAATTTCCTGTCAAGCGAGCCGACCACCACATAATTCGTGATCTCATTAAGGCACTCTTCATAAGTATCAAAAGAAGGTATACTTTCGTCGCTGGTGCGCATAAAATAGAAGAATGTGATGTCTTGCAGGTCGGTTCTACTATCATCTATTTGGCCGCATATCATGTGAAGCACTGGTACCTGGTGGACTTTTTCTACCATTTTCTGTAATTGTCACGAAATTTGATCGTATAATACTCAATACCGATACCGATACGCTTAACTGCGGTTTAAATCAATTACTACATTGTCTCCTAAAATTACATAAAAAAAGAAAGAGATAACGAATTAGCTAAAAGATTAATTACCGATAGTGAAATCAAAACTAAATGTAACAATCGCTCGTTATTGGATCTTTCTTTTCTTAGCAAAAATTTGATTTTATGGTATTATTTAATGATACTATTAATATTAGCACATCATTATTATTATGACGATCAATTTAATATTATTACTTCAGCTTCACACAGTTTGTAATTGCGTTTTATAATAAATCCGACAGTAATCACAGTTTATATAACTAAAAGAAGTATTTAAAATTTACATATAGATATTAATAGACACCAAGATTTAGTCTTGATCATATTACCCCATCTTTACTAATTAGTTTGATTTTTTTGGTCATGTTACAGAATTAATTATTTAAAATAATGTCATTTAATAATAAATGATATTAATATAAACATGGTAATTTGTTATCTAGAGAATTACCTTAGTTAAAACGTATTTATCTTCTTCTCCAGGCAGTGGTACAATAACAGAACTGTCTAAAGAAATTAATTGATTATTATGTACTGTTATATACAGAGTAAAGTATTTAAAGCATTATATAAGTTATTATCTCTAAAAGTATGAATTAAATAAAAAATATGCTTACATAAAAGTTGTATGACACCTTATAAGACACAAATAATAAATAATAAAATCAATTTTTGGAAGAATAGATTTTTTATAGCTACATAAAGATTATTTTTTTAAATGTAATTTTAAATGTAATTTCTTCCATATAATATTCTTCTAACTATTTTGCATATAAAAGTTAAGATAGGGATATCAAAAAATATATTGAGGTATAACATTTATAAAAAATTTTTATTTTAAAATTGAAAGTGAAAAGAAAAGAAGTAAACATTTACTTTTTAATATAAAAATTAAGTAAGCAATACATTATTGCTTATTGTAGTGTTATTACTATTATATAAAGAAATAACATTATGGAAATGATAGGCTACTAAAGTCAAGTAAAATTTCTAAATAATTTTGGTAATTGGACAACATTCAAATCATGTTCAAAGTACCAGTTCTCGTCTGATCACTGAAGTCAAGCAATGTTGACCATGGTTAGTACTTAGGTAGGTGACCGCTTGGAAATATCGTGTAATGTTATCCTTCAATTTTTTATTTTTTATTTTTTGTTCAGTTGAAAGGAGATCGTATGATAAGATACTCTATAAAGAATTATATGTGTGACATTTGATTTTTTTAAATAACTCTAATACTTTATATGCAAAATAATTAGAGGAATCAAATTATGTAAAGAAATCATACAATTCCATTTTTAAAAGATGTTTATTATTTTTATGTAATCATGGTAAATCAATTTTTTCTAAAGTTGATTTTATCAATATTTATATGGTCCCATCAGGTCATACAACTTTTATCTGAATGTATTTTTTTATTTAACGCATACTTTCAACGATAGCTTGTAACACTTTAAATGCTTAATCTTATATATTCAAAACCAATAAAATCCAATGGAACTGACCAGTAGAAGCGCTTTTTAAATCTTCCTTTTTTTTAGGAAAATCGCCATTCTGTTTTTTGTCATCTTCCTCTTCATCCTCTTCGCTGGATTCTGGTATACTGGATGTATGCGTGCTAGTTGTCGTGCGACTAGCAATTGAACTGATATCCATTTTGTTAACTTTAGCTTTACCTTTTTTTTTCTTTCTTTTATCTTTTATCTTGCGTTTCTCCACTTTTCCTAATATTAAAAATGTTATGTGCAAGATTATTATTTTTTATTTAATTGTAAGAAGTTTATAAAACATATCATGAAAAATATACCTATTAATTTTAAAATTATTTATATCTTAAAAATTTTATACTTTCATATAAAATTACTTTGTATTTTAAAATTTATATAAAAATAAAAAGTGAGAAAAATTGTATTTCTAAACAAGAAAAAATAATACAATAAGATATTTCATGCTTTCATTATACGAGTTGCATGAGATGCATTTGTGCATAAAACAATTTATAATTTTTATATAAAATTCGCTTGCTTATTATTAAGCACAATAACACAAACCACTTTATTACTTATTAATTTATTGCTAAGTGTTTATTGTATTATTTGCATTAATGTAATATTTAAATTTGTTTAGCTAGGAAATATAGTATGCAAAGTATTAGGTGTTGGAATTAATTCGTAGCGTTTTTTATATATGTACAATTTTAGAATCATGAATCATCATTGTCAAAAGAACATTTGACAATTTCGAAATTTTCCTTCTCTTTACAAAATATATTTTTTTATATCTTACTTTCCTCCCATACTGGAACCTCCTCTTGATATACTTCACTAACATAAGTTTTATAGAAGAAAATTAACTTCTTTTCTAGCTCTGTCACTTCGAACAAGTCTAATATGAGAAAGTTGAGCAGCTTATCCTCAAAATATCGATTATTTGCCTAATATTAAACATAGATATTAATTTTAATTAATTTTGAATTATGTATCAAGAAAGATTATACAAGTGATTCAAGTGATTACGTTAATTAGGTTGTAGAAAAGATGTTCCTGATCTATCAGCCCAAGAAACTTTAAAACTCGATCGCAAATCCATTTTATTCTGTTTTTGTAAAATAACGCTATTTAATAAATTCAAGAACTAATACAAATTTCACACAAATAATAATATAGATAATATTATATTATTTATAGATAATACAAAGATTGTATTAACTATACATACCGATAATCGATGTACGAAATAAACGATTTATCATGATCACCTTTGTCCCTTAAACTTTTTTGTTCGTCTTCTTCCTTCTTTTTATCATTCTCATAAACATTATTCTCCATATTCATGTATATATCATTGAAAAATGCTATTTCAAATCCTCTGCATTAATTAACATAAATTTTTATTTGATTAATTTTTTTCAATCGATTAATTCTTTAGAAATAAATTATATCAAAATGCTTAATAACCTTTTATTCCTTATTCAGGAATAATAATATGATATTTCACACAATTTATTTCTTCCATGTTTTATTCAAACAATATTTTATTTCATTTCTCGAAAACTTGAAAAGATTGTCATGGTTCTATTTACAATTGCTGATTGGAGAAATCGTTACTGTAAATAATTGTTCTTCAGTTCTCCACTAGATTGAATTGCCTTCGAAGAATGAAGAATACTACAAATACTGCACAGCCAGAAGTGAGAAACTTTGCCGTCGTCGTTGTCATGGTGAATAAA